GTCTCATTTCCGGCCCCCAAGAAAAGAAACTCCGCCCCACCCCGGGGCCCCCCCCCCCCCCCCCCCCCCCCCCCCCCCCCCCCCCCCCCCCCCCCCCACACACACACACCCAGCTAACCCGCCCCACCCACAGCCGCCGTCCTCACCTTCTCCAAACCCTCCTCCCACCTCCTCCCCGTCCTCCGCCCCTACACCCCCATCACCCACGCCAGCACCCCCGGCCACCTCGACCTCCTCGTCAAGCACTACCCCTCGGGCAAGCAATCCACCCACCTGCACTCCCTCTCCCCCGGCGATTCCCTCGCCTTCGTCACCGCCATCCCTGGCTACGCGTGGCAGCGCAACCGCTTCCGCCGCATCGCCTGCATCGCCGGCGGCGCGGGCGTCACGCCCGTCTGGCAGCTGGTGCAGGGGATCCTGGCGGATCCAGACGACAAGACGGTCGTGGATGTCGTGTATGGGGCGAATAGCGTCGAGGATGTGTTGTTAAGGGAGGAGTGGGGGAGGCTGGTGGAGAAGAGCCGGGGGAGGTTGAGGGTGCACTACACGGTTAGTAGGGGTGGGGAGGAGGGTGGGGAGTTTAGGAAGGGTTATGTGACGAAGGAGTTGCTGAGGGAGTTGGGGGTCCAGGGGGGCAAGGGGGAGGGGGAGGGGGAAGAGACGTCGATGGTGTTTGTTTGTGGGCCGCCGAAGATGGAGGAGGCGTTGGTGGGGAAGGGGAGGGGGGGTAGCGGGGGCATTTTGGCCGAGTTGGGGTTTAGGAAGGAGCAGGTGTATAAGTTTTGAGGGGGGGGGGTTCTTGGGTTTGGGGGAGCGGGGAAAATGCGGGCGTTGGTGGTTTGTTTGATAGATGCTGCGCGGAAGCAGTTGTCTACTTAATGCGCTAGAAACTCCATGAATTATTATTTTACCTAAAGTCATTACAAAAGAAAAATAAATACCGAAACCCAATTTACCATCATCTTCATAATTCAGTAATGTCCCTTCACGGCGAAACCTGGGTCTCTTCTCGCAAGCTCCTGTCCCTTATGCTCTGATGAACTTCAGGCTTCTATCGTCATCCATTTTAAGCTTCGCCTTTATGGCCTCTGCCCGTTCATCCATCTTCATCTTGTCATTCGGGTACACTTCATCTCTATCAATTTTCGGCTTCGCCGTAATGAGCCCTGCTTGTTCATCCATCTCCGTCTTTTCAATTGGTTCCTCGTCATTGTTTCCCCGTTTACTAAGGCCGTGGAAAAGAAGTGCAACCAGACTGTCTTTCCAGAGGAAAGACTCTCGATGCTTCCAGCTTTTCCAGAGGCTGGTGCCCAGGAAGCAGGCTCCAAGAATGGTGAGAAAGGCGGGGAACAAGAGCCATTGCCAGTAGATTACGACAAAAACCTCCGGATAGAAGGCTTCTCCGTAATGACGCGTTGTGTTTAGGGCTGATGCCATCAAGTATATGGAAAAGGCCTCTGTGATAGCATCCATGGTCGCAGGGATGCTCTCACTGTTCATGAGAAGCTGCCCAGAGGCGAAAGCTGTCTCATCAGAACTGACCTGGAATTTGAAGAGGTCCAAGAAGTATTTTGCAACACCGGAGGCCTTGCCGCACCCGACATCAAACGAGTAAGACTCTTCTTCGCGTGTTGCACCAAACGTAACGTTTCCGTAACCGTCGTAGCATTGCTCGAGGGGGTCCTCTGCATTGTCAGGGTAGGACTCATGATATTCTTCCGAGGAGAAGCCTTTTTCTTCCATCGTATACGAATCCATAATACCATTCATCTTCGAATTTTGAAGAGTCAGCGAACGAAACCTATAACTCATGCGTCCACTTACCAATTTCAAATTGCTGTAGAACTTTGCACACCAGCTGATTGTGCATTCGGTGATGTCTGCTTGTCCGCCATAGTTGTACACTTGGGTATAATTTTCCGGTCGACCGGAGGCATTTGCAATTGCTACAAAGGCAATATCTTGCAATTTGGTCGTTCCTTCGCGCGTTGCATTACCACTCATGATGGTCGCCGATTCAAAAACGGTCCAATCCGACAATGGCAATGTCATCCCTTTGGGCGTCGTATAATTCTTTCTGTCAGGTATGATATAGCCAAGTGAAGTATCCATATCGTAAACCGAGGAGTCCAACGTCACGTTTGCACAGGAGCTGCAAATTCCAAGGGCATGGAAATCGGGCCAGGAACAGTTACTGGACGAGCAAGTGTACGAAAGTGGAGGAACTGAGCCCAGAAGCCCTTGCAGAATAAGAGATTGACCGCGGGCTTCGACTGTGAAATCTTCACTTGTAATTATTCTCAAAATCTTCTCACGAGGAGGTCGCGGGAGATTACCTGGATTTTTATAAAACTCTAGTAAATATGAAGTTGTCGTAGCGATCCAGGCACTACTATTCCCCTGACTCATATGTCGGGTCTGAAAGGAGAGTACTTGCTGAGCAAGAGGCTCCATCGTCAATGAGGAAAGCATAATGAAGGCTCCAAGGATGGCAGTGATATCTATCCAGCTGGAGGGACTGAAAATGATAAACTTAAACGCACCCCAGGGCCCTCGGCTTGCTTCATCGTACATATCAAGCTCCGAGATCGGACGCGTGTCGCGGTGGAAATGCTGCCACTTGAGCTGGCCCAGGCCACCGGCAACAGCCAACAGCATAGATGTCTTCGAGACCGTGATAAGAGTCGATATCAAAGTGTTCGGTGCCATCACGAAGTGCCAGCGTTCCAAAGGCTTGTTGTCGATGTTCGGGATTATGATCAGTATTATGATCATGCAGCAAATGCTCAATGATGCGCCTCCGGCCTCCCACAGCCACCAGCTATCCTCTGCCCTTTTGAGCATGTATGAACAAGTCCTCTTTCGTGTATTGATGGCGGTAGATGATTCTGGATCATGATTGACCTGGGTAGTGTGGGTTCTAGGCTGAGCTTTCGAATATTGGAAGACCATTTCTATGGCAGGATTGATGTCAGAATAGGGTCTTGAGCCAAGTGCATTTTCTCGAACCTGATATGATGAAGCAGATGTGGGAGACATCATACCGTCCTCTCCGAAGACACTCAAAGCGCTCTCTTCTGAAGAGACTCACGTCGGAGGATGCGAGGTAGATCTCCGGTTGGCGGGCTTGTTACTCTCGGAGTAACTATGTAGTGGAGTTCCAGGCTGAATTCTGGATTCGAAAAAGTTTGAAGGGCGATGTATGTGTAGAAGGATGGCTAAAGACCTGCTAGGCGAGAGGGCATCCGAAGTAGATGATTATATATCGCAAGGCTGACAACTCAGATGGTAACACAACAGGCAGCTAGACCCAGGCGGTCAATGTGGGGTAAGGCCTAGACTCTCAGGATACAACTGAATGTAGCTGTTCTGTACCGATAATGTGAACTTTTCAGACACTAATCCTTGTCATTGCTCTCGTTCTTGGTTTGCTTTAGGATTCCATCAAAGTCGTCCAATGTCCCTGACACAGTGCCTGGTGTAAAATGAGAGTTAGTTCTCATGTGCCTTACAAATGCGTATGTTTCCAAACGACTGTTTTTTCAGCTGCGCAACATCCTTGTGGGAATTCTGCAAGCCAAGATGACTGTACTACGTCGGGTCTCGGTCCGAATGCATTACACAAAGGACAATGTAAGCCATGTGCGATGTACTCACCTGAAGTCTTTTACCTAAATGCTGCATTTACTTGTTTATTCAGGTTGGAAAATATCTCAAAACGACACGCAGAAGAGATACATTTGGAACCATCACTCGTCTGGTAAGAAAGTCTCCTTGAGCTCTTACATTATCACCAAAACGGATCCATGCTCACGGATACCCTCTCGGCTGGCACCTACACCATAAACAGCAGTCGATTGGCAGTCCTACCGTAACGGTTACCAGTAACAGCATGCCACGAATTTCAAGGCTGTCTTTGCACAAGGCTGAGGTGACCTGTCGCAAGGAAAAGCGGGAAAATCCGGAAGACGCTGAGAGAGGGAAGAGTATTTCTGTCATTGGCTACCTACACCCCCATTTTTGTTTTGCACTAGCGTCTTCTACTACTAAACCCCACTGCACAGCTCCCAGTGTGTCAGTATTTTTGATGCCCGGACCAAAGCGTCAACGACGACTTAGCCACACTCTAAACTGAACTCGTCCTAAGAAGCCAGCCTTACCCAGCTACACGCCCCTCATGCGTGAGGAAGACGAACTGATTCACGCAGCACTTGGTGCCTTCGTCGAATCAAACGCCCCGCCACCGGCCAAGAAGTCAGCCTTGCCCAGCTGCACACCCTTCATGCGGAGAATCGCGTACGCCGTCGTGGTGTGGAACCAGAAGTTGGGGAAAGCGAACTGGTTCAGGAACTTGATGCCGTTCTCGAACCCGAACTCATAGCCAACACCTTGCTCTCCTATATCCATTAATTCACGCACACAAAAGTCAGCCTCGTTCTCTCTTCGATCCCAAATGGCTCTCTCCCCTCGCGTTCTCCTTACCGCCAGTCCAAAACGTATACTCCCTTCCCTCCTGCCCGTCAACATCCTCCCTCTTCACCTCCTCGATGAACTTCAACACGTCCGCAATCATGGCGCGCAGCTCCTTGAACGTGCGCCCCTGCTCAGGCGGGAACGTCGTCGCCGACGTGTAAACCCAGCCCTTGCGCAGGACGGAGTAGCGTGCGATGGCGCAGAGGGCCAGGATCTGGTAAACGAAGTCTCTCATGTCAGGCGCGAGGCGCCCGCTGAGGAGCTCATCCTCGGACTTGCCGTTCTCGTTGGCCCACGCCTCGGCCTGGTGATTGCCTGTTAGAGTGACGGAGTCTGCGAGCGAGGTATATCTGGGAGAGTTGGAATTGGAATTGGGGGGTGCTGCGAAGGAAATTCTTTTTACGCACCTTTTGGAGCCAAGCGTCGGTGTTTTTAAGGCTCCGGATCAGGACCGGGACGGTGATGTCGTAGAGGGAGATGGACATGCTTGGTTGTGGATTGTATATCGGAGGTAATTGAAATTGGTAAGTGATAGAAAGAATTGGATATGATGTGGGAAGATGAGATGGGAATGCTGATAATGAGAGGAGAGACTGAGACAGGATGCGCGAGGCAAGGTATTTTTATAGACTTTGTATCACATTCTCTAGGCTGCAACGCAATGATTCCCCACATATGGGGCGGGTTTCATTTTCATGTTGATGACCGGGGTGACTCCACGGATGCAAGCTGTCCGTAAGCAAAGAAAAGCACAGACTGTTGATACGCAGTCGGGTTGGCGGAGTTATGCCGGCATTCGGCAATAAAGTCGAGTTGTTGGGATTTCTCGACTGGAAATGGTCGAAGGATTCGTACGCACGGGACTCATTATTGGGAATATCGGTTTATCGTGTTATTGTTGAAGTACAGTCCCCTCTCGCAGCCGATGGCTAGCGTGGGTTTATTTTTCGCTCATGTCATAGGTTGCTGAAGCTATCATCCGGACATGTATGTAGAAATTTTAATTCCACATTCACATCCGTATGATAACTTCAAATACCCATATATGTTCTTTTCCGTTGTGACAAGAAAAAAAGAGAAGAGCTGAGGCATGCTTATGCTATGTTCCAAGGCCCTGCCATTCTTCGAGCTAAACATCGGCTGCAGCACCCCTCTGTACGTATTTCTCTTTACTCTTCTCTCTCTTTAGAAACTTCTTCTCGTACGTAAAACTTAGTCGAATGCAAACTCACTTCGCTGAGTAACACAGATAATCCTCAGAAACATCTCATCACCAGTGGCCACACTCTATCAATAGTGCTGTGGATTTAAAAGGCGCCGTTGGGCTTTGATGGCTGAAGTTCATCCGATGAACAATTCAATGAAGTTTTTAAGTAATCATCAATGCTCGACCAAAACAACATGGCCTTCGAGCATGTAGTGCGCGCAGGTCAACCAACAACGTAGCAACAAAAGTAAATGGCAAAATGCTCTGTAACTATGAAAAGCTGGCGGATCCACAATTACGTGTCGAGCGAGAGCAGCCTCCTGAAGTTCAATATGTCTGTTATGATGTCGACTGCTCTATCGAGGCCGGCAATGAGATACAGAAGGTTATGTCTTGCGGAACTGAGTGCTTAATATCCGGTTTCTTTGTAGGCGCGGTCACTGAGAGATCATGTAAGGCCAAGCGTGTGCTGATTTCCTTGTCGATAGAGCGAATATCTGTTTCTGTTGTAAGCTTGATGACCTATGATTCATGAAAAAATAGTACAACGTCCTTCATACAATATGGACAACTCAATCATCCTGTTCCCTACTAGTGATAACCATTCATATAGTACCTATCTTAAAAGATGGCTTCCTTCGGATCTCTCTACAACTCTCTCCACCACTTATCTTCGTACAGATCAGACTTGGACGTGCATCTTGACGCCGCATCCGTATGCTCGCCCCACAATTCTTGCGTCCACTCATACGCGAATTTCGCAACGCCTGACGACGCAGCAAAAACCGGATCAACCGCCACCCCGGGACCATCGTCCTCAGGTCCATCAAGCGCCTCCGCAACCAACCGCTCCTCACCCAAACCCCTCACCAGCGCCTCCCTCACGCCCCGCATCCTCCACCCATCCCCATGCACAACCACCTTGTCCACCCGCCGCCCCTCCGGCACATATTCCACCACCTTCCTCACCGCAGCCTCCAAGCCTCCTCCCCCACTATACCGGTCCGGGCCCCTATCGCCAGCCTCCTCCCCCTCCCCCTCCCCCCGCATATCCACCACCAACCTCTCCTCCCACCGCTCAAACACCCCATCCTCCACCTCCATCACCGTCACCACCGCCGTCCCCGCCGCCCGCACTACCTCCACAACAACCACCAACCCCACCCCGTCGCCGCCTGTCCCCCACCCCAACGCATCCAGATCGAGCATCCCCGCCGCCGCCGGCGTCGCGGTCGAGATCATGTTCTCTGCCGGCTGCGGATGCTCGTCGCGCAGGCCGACGCGGCGCAGCGCGGCGTGCACGGCGGCGCGGTCGGCGTCGGCGGCGGGGGAGTACGAGTTGCGCGGGCCGGCGATGAGGGCGTGGCAGAGGGGGGAGGAGGAGATGCCGAGGTGGAGTTCGGCGGAGCGTTTGAGGAGGGCGAGGAGCGGGGTCAGGGCTGCGATGTCGTCGGCGGGGGTGTTGGGGGAGTTGGGGTTGGGAGGGGAAGGGGGAGAGGGAGGGCGGCAGAGGCGGGGCATTAGGAGGCGGAATAATGGGAAGAGGGGTTGAAAGTGGTGGAAGAAGGTGCAGGAGAATGAGGGGGTGGTGTTGGTGTTGGTGGTGGGGTAGTAGTGGGAGGGCGGCTCGGGAGGGGGCGAGGGAGGTTCGGTGTTGGGTAGTGTTGGCGGGTGTTCGTAGGCGGTGTTGTAGGCGCGTCGCATGAAGGCTTTGTAGGCGGGGCCGCCGTCTATTTTGGCGATGTGGGCGATTGTGCCGTTGGGGTAGTAGACGGAAGCGGTGCTGGAGTTTGTTAACAGGTGGGTATCAGAAGTGTTGCGTTATCTGGCCTGTTTTATTGATAGTTCAATCGGGACATGGTAATCTTGTAGGCCTGAAGCAGCTGACGAGAGGTAAAAATTAAAGGAATCTTGACATCAATACCTGGATGAGCACTGCGAATTGCGAACATGACTGAAAGAGATGGGAACCATGACAGAGAGGATGCTGATGAATACACTTACCCATATTCCGTTGTTAAAGCAAACCCGACGCCAGGCACGTTGGATACAGGAGCATTATCTGTTCCCATAGAGCATTCTGGACAAGCCAAAGAGGATGCGCAGCAAAGGCTGAGCAGAATCAAGAGTGTTAATCTGAATGAGCCTTTCGAAGGCTTTCTGTTGCAGCGATTCATATTGAATAGCCTGCTTTTTTTTTTTTTTGGTGTTGGGGATAAGTATAAGTTAAATATCATGAGACTGTACGTTGTTGTTGACTCATACCCTTTGGGGACACGGTAGCCATTACTATTGTGGAACCATTACTGATGTGGCGCTAAAGGATCCGAAGCTAAGGTCTTGGCTGATTGCTCGTATCTTTCTTAAAATAACCACCTTATCGAATTGCAAATCATGAGAGATAATATTTCCTATAGTATAGAATCGAGCGCCAGGATATGGGAAAAAGCTGATATTTAGTTACAGTAGATTTTTAGAAATATATAGCTCACGAATATGATTTCAAGACCGACATTAATTTGACATTAAACGATAGTAATCGATTCGCTGCCGAAAAAGGATGAGTGATGGTTTCCCTTACGGCCATCCAAGATATTTTGTCAAGTAATTGTAATCAAAACATTGCGAGGGCCATGCCGTTGCGGCTAAGCCGGGATTGGGGTAGCGCATCATGAAATTTTGCATGTAAGGACCCTGTACCAAATTTTCGACATCCCAGTCATAGCTATTTGGCACTTCATGCTTCAGCCTCCAGTACTCTTCAATGAGGAGATTCGAGAGCTTCTCTCTTTGTTGCATGCAACGCTCATGGTTGTACTCTGGTATGACTGATGCCATGTAGTCTTGGCTACTTTTCATGGTCGTCATATAATCTTTGACACTGTGTTCCAGCTCCTGCGGCCTTGGTGAATGATGGATGCCTCTGAGTACGCGCTCTATCTCGACGTTGTCCATCATCGCGCATCTCCGCGCTACAGTCTTGACCAGCTGATCCTCCCAATGGCCTTCAAAGAGCGCGTGGTCCCTTTCAAGTCGTGACCCAAGTTCACCTTCTTCAGCATTAATTTCTGCCCAGTCCTTGTAGAGGCTTTCCAGTGTTTGTGAACACTCTTGCGGATGAACATAGTCGATATCAAATTGTGAATCACCAGGCGGGAAGCGGCCATTTGGAGGCCAGTACTTAAGTAATCTGTTACCTGACGAGTAGCAGCAGGTGTGTGTCAAGCCGATCTCATCACTTCTTTGAAATCTGTCCAGTTCTGCAATGTATGCTGAAATGATTTCGCCTTTGTTGCATTCTTGGAGTATGATGAAGAGTTCGAGTATCCACACGTAATGTTTCTGGCAGGACCCTTTCAAAGGTAGCGCTGGAACAAGCGCTCGCAGTGGGGAGCATCCTTGAGGCGAACAGTAGCACCGGCAGTTGTCTTTTTGTAGCAAGTCACCGCCAGCCTGAATTAGGACTGTTGCTGTTTCCATCATCTTTTTGAAGGATTCAGTGTCCAACTTCGGATACCAACGCAGATTGGAAGACAGATTGGAAGAGAAACCGGCTTTTATAGTGAAATGTAGAGCAGTTTGTCCCCTGTGGTCGCTATCGTTGACGCGAGCTCCCCTGGTTAGGCTGTCTTGCAGCAGCCTAGGGTCCAAAAACCAAGAAAATATCATCAAAGGGGTATAACCATCATGATTGGACGACTCGTTGATGTCACGGCCGGGATACTCCAGGAGTCTTCGTGCGTGCTGCGAAGATGATGCGAAATGGAGCAGGCCGAAGCCGTCATGTTCGTAATGATACGGATACACCTCTGCAGAAGCCGACATTTTTGACAAGAGATAATCTGCCGCTTTCAAGCTCCAGGAGTGCGAATAAGGCGAAGTGAACATCACAGGTTCGAAAATTTCAGCGGAAACCCGCCAAGGTAGGGTTTTGCGTATAAAACAATCCAGCAGATGAAGGAGTGGCTTCTCATCTTCAGCCCCTACTGCGTAGGCTAAACTGCCTTCAAGATTGCTGTAAGCTGGCAAGATTGGAGGAAATTCTGCTCCTGCCTCCACAAGGATGGTCATGGAGTCGAGGAAGCCGTACACGAGTGCGTAACAAAGTGGAGTAGCACCGTGGATATTTCTCGAGTTTATTCCAGATGAGTAACCACTTTGTAGCAATATGTCGAGTATCGCTGGCCACTGCACCGCGAGATGAAGCACTGTATGCCCTAGAAAGTTTTCAGACAAGTCTACATGACTGTGTGTCTTGAGGTATCTCTCCACCTCATCAAACGCGCCAAAAGACACAGCAGTATGTAAAGGCATGTATTCCCCAATGTCTGTATGATATGTCAGCACATAATGAAAATCATAGATGAATCAATCTTACCAAGCTGGGACTTGCAAATTTGCGTGAATGCTCGCAGCCACCAACGGTCGGCAGCAATTTGGCGATGTTTGTCCAAATCCGGGTAAATGTGACATAGCCGCGGATTATCAAGTGGCGGCAGAGTTCTCATCAGCTCCGGTTTAAACCCCTTGGGGGACCATAAGCCCCGTGCCGATCCACCTTTCCAGGCCACTCCACCTTGAGCAAGAAATTTGGCCAACCGTAATTGCGATTCGTGCCTGTCTCCGTCCACCTCGTAGAAACATACTGTCTGATATGTTGTTAACGTCTATGGATGTTTAAAGACTATTTGGTTGTAACATACCTCAAGGTATCCGTCTCCCCACTTTGTCGAGTCGTTAAAATCTATGGCGCCATTTTGGCGCAGAGCTTCCAGCTCTGCCAGCGCCTTTTCGACAGTTATTGTGCCCATGTAAACACATTGGCGAAGAACTCGGAATCCTGGATTGTCATTTTCGACAACATTTCCGAATTTCAGAGAGCAGGTGAGCGAGAGGCCAGTAGCCCAGCTTGCCCCGAGGCTGAGTTTGATAGATTTCCCCAGAACTGTAGTGTTTACCACATATCGCTCACCAGAACAGCTACACCCAGCCGATCTGGCAGCTAACCTCACAAGCCACCCGCAATTCGATAGTCTGTGGCAGGCACAAGTGCAGTCGCCTGAGGCGCAAAACATTCCGTTGCCTCTGCGCCGCTGACTGTGGGAACGCAGACAAATAGGAAAATGGTCCTGCGCCGGTGATGGAGCTGTTGACTTGATTGGACGTATCGCCTCAAGTGCCTGTCGCGCTGCCTGCTGCTCCTCGAATAAGAACAGTAGCCTCCTGGTATTCTGCTCTGTCTCGCGACAAACATGAAGGAGTATGACTTCTCGGTAGTCGTTCAGGTCTTCGAGTATCGCTTTCACGCGGTGGTCTTTGAAAAATGCCCGGACGGCATGCATCGTCTTATTGAACGTAGAAGAGTTCGGGCATGGCACCAAGGAAGTGACAAGGCTGTCCAGCTCCTCAATACGGAGCTTGCAACCTCTGAGAACCTCATGGAGTAGTGCCTCTTCTTCTCCCGAGTCTTCTCCGGTTCGAGTGGTCTTCTCCAGAGCTTTGATGTTGCTGGCGAACAGATGCAGTTGCGACCGCAGCCTGATGAATGCGGCGTTGCCGCGGTACTCTTTGATGCGGTTGACGAGCTTGTTGCATGCATCGACTACTTGGATGACTGAAGCGCCGACACTAAGGACGGCTATGAGCTCGGCGCCAGACATGGCGGGAGAAATTGGAAAGACGATTTCATGAAAAGGCTTGTGGAGATGAGAGAAATGTGAGAGAGAAGAGTTGTAAGCCTCAAGGCGGGGAAGCAAGGCTGTGGTGGCGGGGGCCGAATAGGGACAAGGATCTCAGCCAATCGTCCCGTGCCAGCGCCTAGCACAGCCCCGAGATGTTGTTGACTGGAACATCTTAGAGTCTCATCTCTTCTTTGGGATGAAGCTTTACAATGATGTGGTTGGTAAGGTTGGTGTCGATGAAACTCAACACCATCTCAACTCGAAATAAAGACTTGGCCAAGGAGTCAATGAAACTGGACTTTAGGTGCTCGTATCATTTGGCTAAAACACCCCGAGCAACTTCCTTGCATGCATGAGACTCATCTAACGTCTTGTATAAAGAGATATGGTCACAGATTCTAAGATGGATCAAGAGCAAAGCCTCATCCGGAATGGAGAGAGGACAGTTCTTTATAGAACCAATAGGAGCCCAGAGAAAGTAAGAGCTCGAATCGACCTTGACGATCTGCACGCGCATCGTGACAAACTGAAAGTGAAAGCCAAGAAATCGATCAGTGCCAGTGAATCTTGATAAGACCAGCCCTGAACAACATTGTCAAATCAGGGAGACCGCCACTTCTCACCCCTCGCCCCTCGGTGGCCCAAGCCCCCCATCCTCCCCGCACGAAAAGGAGAAAAAAAGAACCTGCGCAATTTCTCCAAATTACCCACAGTCCTCCATGCGCGACGATGTATTTTTACCTACCTACCCTCTGCCCCACATTGTTGTACATCGAAACGAGTTGCCCAGGGTCCCTGCGCCACCACACACCACACCGCACCACACACCTCTCTTTCCGCGACCCACGACTCGCCACACCACACCAAACAGCAGGCACAAATATCACCATCTGTCTCCCTCATACCATCACGGCACTGCGAGAAGATTTTTGCATATTGCACCGCCGCCTCTCGCACCACCGTCGTCCGTACGTGACGCTACTTGCTTACCGAAACAGGCAAGCATAGTGCGAGGACTCGTCAGACGATCACGCACCGCTGCGCCGACGACCCGACACCCCACGTCCAGGCAACCACCATTATTGCGCGTGTGCCCATCACCATGCCAACTCCTGAAGCGCGAGAATCCTGCTCTCACCCCCTCCCCTTTCACTTTTTCCTTGTCGCATCAGCAGTCTAGTCGACGTCGTCGCCGTTCTGCGGGCTGCCGAGTAAAAAGGGACAAGTAGTTGGCAATCCGGCAAAAAGTAGCCGAAATGAGCAAGAATCCGAAACATTGCGGGGCTGCAACCTGTAGCACAGTAGTACAGTAGTCTACTGTTAGGCAGAAGACCCTTTTTTCCTTCCCACCGCCGTGTGACGAACTGTTGCGCAGCTGATCCGTTCCACCCCGTTTAACGTCTGTCCATATCGTATCGTATCTCTCGGCGCACCCGGACCATATCGGCTCGCCGAATAGAAATTTGGCGGGAGCGATGGAAAGAAAAAAATGTTCTCGAACGATAGCTCCGGCGCCTCTCTCGGCGCTTCTCGTCTGGGGGTGTCCGCGAGATCCTGGAACGTGCCGGTTTCGCGCCAGATCGAGTATCGTGTTCCGGACGATGTTGGTTGTAGGGAAGGTGAAGAACGAAAAGTGTCACGTTGAACGGGAAACGCGAGGTAACTTTTGTACGATGATGAAAAGTAGTAGTTGGACAAGAAGAAACGCAGATCGCGGGATTTAGATTCGATATCTACTCCCCACAACAAACAGCTACAACCGAGACCCAGATTTCTCTTTTTCTTCTTTTGGTAATTCTGAGCCCCTCCCCTCCGCAAATTCGACAAAAAGAAAAAGGAACTTTATATGGATCGCTTTTCTTGTTTGCCCCTTGTTGGAAGGCGTTCTCTTGTCTCTCTGTTCACACAAACACAAAAAAGTAAAGGCCCGAGGTGAAGCGCGGATTATGTAGTAATAAGTAGGCGGAGGTGAGTAAGGTTGGCTTTTCTTTTCCTTGGACCTAACCGCGGAAGATATCTCTCTTCCAGGGCCGTTTGAGGGGGAGGCAGACAAAAAAAGGAAGGCATGACATGCTGTTTGAGCACCTCTTCAAATATAGAATACAGGAGGAAGAAGACCATGGACGTACGGCTGCTAGCTTTCGTCCGGAGGGTCGGAGAAAATACCTAGGCGCAGCCGATGTGTCTGCGGGCGAGCGGTTAGAAGTAGCGCGTTTAATTTCGGACATGGGACTCACCGCCGGAAGCTTGGGGATGACGACGGCGATGGTGGCCATGAAGTTGATAAGGAAAAAGGTCAGGTCGTAGTGCGTGTAGTGGGTGCTGATGAGGAACAGCACGATGGGCACGCTCAGCAGGAACTTCTTGGCCGGGGTGTACTGGTCACCGTTGTCAATCTGCTCCCACATGTTCAAGTTGTCGTATGCGCCCGCGTTGAACTCGAAGGGCACGCCGCGCACCCAGTGGAACATGAGGTAGCTGCCGAACATGTAGGATATGTTGGTGAGCGTCCACGACGTCTCTTGCGACACGCCGGGGATGATGTCGTAGAGGATCTTGAGGCAAACGATGAGGACGAAGTGGATGGCCCAGGCGCCTGCGGTCCGTTAGCAGGCGGCTCTACTCGCGCGCACTCGGAGAGCGTACCCTTGGCGTTGACCCATTGCGAGTTGAGGTTGGGCAGGGCGGCCTGGTCGCTGATGTGCTCCAGAGACTCCGGGGGTTCCGTGTACATCAGGCTCGACGAGCGGCGCCGGCGGCCGGCCTTTTCGGAGCTCATCCTCTCGGCATGGGCGGTCGTCAAGTGGCCGGGATGCGGATCTACCTGGAAGGAGGTAGTCCGGTTGAGAAGTATGGGCGACAGTTTGGCGGTGTTGGAGGCGACGTTGAGACAAAGGGCGTAGGATGCGCGTGGTGACTGGCCGGCAGACGGGTGCGCAAGAGCGGTCGGGGGGTAACGAGCGGCGGCCAAGGTGCTAGGCGGCGGATGGGGAGTGGTGGACGGGTGAGTGAGGGATTGGAGCCGGGGGGACGGGAAGAGTAGTAGTAGGTCGAGACGCGGTGGAGGCCCCCCTTCAAGTGCGAGAGAGGGCGAACGTCAGCTTCCACGCCGAGCCTGCAGGGATCACCAGCCCCGGACGCCAGAGCGCAGCTGCAGCGCGCCGCCTAGCCCCAGCTGCGATCCTCAACCTCACCCAACAACACCCGAGCCCACCACGCCATCGTCCTATCGCGCCCCGTCTCCGTGCCAGCCTGTTGCGTTCCCCCACATGGCCTCGCACGACGATATGGCTGCGCACTCGCGCGACGACCACGCTGCTCCCGCCCCGCTGCGCCCAGCACACCACGACGCCATGGACGCGCCCGCGAAGCCCTCGATCCGCTCGTGGAGGTCCGTCCCCTAATTCTGCCACCGCCGACCGTGTCGCTGACCTGCAGCAGGAAAAAGTACCGCAAAATGCGCGTGCGCTTCGACGAGCGGATGCGCGAAAGCAACACGCTCTTCAGGGAGGAACACAAGGCCATTGCCCTGGCCCGCCGCCTGCAGGAGCAAAATGAGTACGTCACTCGCCCGCCCGTCGCTGGCTTTGGCTGACAATGACCCCAGCCAGCTTCTCGACCTCTTGCTCGACCTCAATGACACGCCCAAGATCCCCCAAGACCTCCGCTTCGACCTCAGCCTCACAGACCCCCGCGAAGCCGACGTGCCGTCCGACCCCGACGCAATCCATCTCAAGCTCCAAGAAGCCCGGGAAGACCTGCATGCGGGCCTGATATCGCCCGAGGACTTTGCCCGGCGCGAGGCGGCGCTGACGGCACGCTTCTCGGGGCTGGACAACAAGTCGCTGGCGGAGCTGCTGAAGGTGCCGCACACGCACTTCCCGCCGGAGCACGTGCCCGATGACCTAGTGGGCGACAGCCTGGCTGGCTACCTCAGCCCGAACCACGAGGAAGAATACCTCAAGGATCTCGACGCCGCGCTCGCCGACCCGGCCATCTACGACCCCCAAGACACGTCCGGCCGCCCCATCCGCCTGCCCGCCCGCGACGTCCCCAGCGAGAAGGAGCTGCAGATCCGCAACCCGGACTCGGTCTACAATTGGCTGCGCAAGCACCAGCCCCAGGTCTTCCTGCAGGACAAGGAAAACGACAAGGCTGGTGGTGGAGGCGATGGCGCCGAGAAGCCGACGAAGGGCGGAGGCAATGGCCGTGGTGGTGGCAAGCGCGGTCAGCAGGCGGCCGCCGCTGCTGCTGCTGCCGCTGCAACGCCAATCAAGGGCGATCCGGATGATGATGACAGCTTCGTGCCGGAAACAGGTAGCGGAAGAGGGAAGAGGAACAAGGACGATGAGCCGTACAGGCCAAAGGGCGGTAGTAGCCGCCCGAGTAAGAGAAAGAGGGAAGATGGTGAGGGCGGCGGTAGGGGTGGCCGGAAGAAGGCTGCTAGAGGGGGAGCTGCTGCTGCTGCCGCTGCCGCCGCCGCTGCTGCATCGTCGGCGTCATAGAAGTTGCGAGATCGGGTTGTTTATGGCGTTCTGTATGAGTAGTCATGGCATGGCATTACTGGGATGATCTGGTTCGTAATGGCTTTTGCATGGAGGGATACCATCGACAACGGAATTTTATCATGGACGGCGCGTGAATGCCAGAATGCTCAAGACTTTATTTTTCTTTTTTTTCCGGCTGCTTTAGGCACAAAACAAAAGGGAGTCACGGATGATGAGAGCGAAATTGAACTGTCAGATAGTTTACTTTTCTTTCCTGGCTGCATATGCGGTCCGACTACGAATCAATCGCCGATTTCTGCGTACAACCTTCGACCCTGCGTGAAGACGAGTGACCTGCAGGAACGGCTAATCTGTCCCACTGCATGCCCAAAAATGATCGACGCTAGGCCAATGATCGACGACGGAGACGGAAAAAAGGCGAGCGTTTTCGCGGGCGCCGCGGGGAGGGGCCGTGGCGGTGCAATGCATGCAATGCCCGCATATGCGTCGTCTAATAATCAATGCCTGCTAGTGCGCATCCATCCATCATCCATCAGCATCAGCATAACTCCACCCTCTCTATCTCTCTCTCTCCATCTCTTTCCACAACACCAAAACATGCTCCCCCCGCTTCTCCTTTCCCCCCTCCCGCGAAACCAATGGACCCCCTAGAAAAAGACGTGCAGCAGCAAACGGCCCCCACGTCGCCCGGCGACTGGCACGCCGACCCGTACTGGCGCGGCCGCCGCATCTCACCCGCGCAGCTGCTCGTGCACGACATCCGGCTCGACGAGCAGAGCGGCGGCGGTTATCGGCAGCGCCACGATGCCGCTCCGCTGCTTGAGATTAAAGAAGTGATGACATCGGCCTTCGCGGCAGAAGTGAGCCAGCGCGGAAGGGACCGCCTGCGGGGGAAGCTTGTCGACGATGCGGAAGGGCTGCTGGCGAAGGCCGGAGTGAGCAATCGGACGGAGCTGTATCGGGTAAAGAGCTTGGTGGCTGAGTATGGGTGGATGGCGGGGTTGAGGGGTTTGCGTGGTGAGGACGACGATAGGATGTGTAGGTGGATGTAGGATTCCCTGTTTCCTTTTGGTTTTGGTTTTGTTTTTTTCTCCTGGTGTCCGCTGTGGCAAGTCTATGGTTAGTAGGGACGTCGGCTGATGAGGCTGCAGTCATATCTCTAGCAAGTTCTCGGAGTACTTGGAGGGAGTGCGACTTGCCTACCTGGCTATTTAGATGTCGATGCTGACAAGATTCGTTTAGTGCCTTCTTGCATTATCAAACTGGAGCGTGAACCCCGCGCGCGTCATCGCCGCATTCCGCAAGATGGAGCTCTGCATTTACCAGAACGAGCGGTTTTCGAAGCACGGGCGGTACTTCTCACCGTTTGTGCAGCGCCTTGTGCCGGAATGGGATCCCGATGATGACGACGAGGACCGGAGCTGTCCGATGCTGATCAGCGTGCCGTTCTTGGATTGGACGGTCCAGGGAGAGCCGCCCGCGCTTCGATTTCAGGTCGATCCGAGGGAAGGGTACACGTCGAGCAGGGGATCTTCGCATTTGCTGAGGTCGATCCTACAGTACTTTTACCGCCTTGAGGATACGAGCGATCGTGAACACAATCAGGTCTTTTCAAAACACAAGCCCTGGATAAACGACCGCGATCTCGACTTGAAAGTCCGCAGTCTGTACGGCCACTATCCCTGCGGGCTCAATGTGGACGAACTCTGGATTCTCGTCATTGACTCAAGACACATTGTCACTTTCTCAAGTAATCAGAGCTGGAAGTCCCGCTGGCCGCCTCTCCAGATGGCTTCCAGAATTGCCGAGGTTTCATTTCGGGGTATCCGTAACAGCTTCTTTCGCTCGGAGCAGATCCCGGATTATACTGCAATGACACATACTATAGCTTGTTTAAGCGGAGCTGTTGGAATGCTTCATAGGAGCTTCTGGTCTGATCTAAAGCTATGCTTAGTCGACCGCTACGCAGGCTATCTGGGTCATCTGGTACGTACATTCCGGTGTATCTGAGTATGAAACACCTCTGACCAGCAATGGAATGTCACAGCAATATCGCCTACACCGCTCACCAAGCACAAGACTTGTCATGGACCTCCTACAAGTACAGGAAGAACTCAACATAATCATCCAGATCACCGAGCAACAGCTCGACATTATTGCACAACTCCAAGACATCCTCGAAAGCCACGAGCCCCTCCCCTCCGAACGCATGTCCATTAAAAGCCGCCCCCGCTCGCGCGGCATCTCCGATCGCCACCACCACCAACACCACCGCATCAGCATAGCAGCCGACGAGACCGACACCAACGACGGCCGCGCCACGCTCCCGCCCTTCTTCCGCGCCACATACCGGCAACTATCCACCTCCGCGCTTGAAGACCCGGCCTCGCAACTCCTCGAAAACCTGCAGCGCGAGGCGGCGGACCTGCGCGACCTGCGCGACAACAGCAACGCGCTGCTCAACCGCACGATCCAGCTCGTCAACATCCGGCTCGAGGACCACGGCAAGGCCATCCTCGTCTTCACCATCGTCACCGTCGTCTTCCTGCCGCTGTCGTTCGTGACGAGCTTCTTCGGCATGAATTTTTCCGACATTCGCGACATGGACCAAACGCAGCGCTTGTTTTGGATCGTCGCGGCGTCGGTGACGGTGGGGGTTGTCGGGTTGGCGAGTTTTCTGGCGTTTTATGGGGGCGATTTGGTGGAGGCGTTGATGGATTGGAGGGAGAGTAGGGCGGCGAGGAGGAGGAGGAGAAGGGCGAGGTCGAGGTTGAGGGGTGGTGGTGGTGGTGGGACTGCATCGGCAAGTGCGGCGGGATTTCAGGTCCTGGATGTTTCTGGGCCGGGGTGGTGATCGTGGACCCCTTGGGCTGCCGCTTTGGAAAGCTTCACTCCGGACCCCGGGCCGGATGACGACATTCCGGCTTGCTGGATCCAAGACGAGATGGGCTTTGCTAAATCAGGGTACCGGCATGCTCGTGGCTTGAAACATCCTCATTGTTCTTATGCTCACCCTACGGTAAGTTGCAGGAGGGGTTGTCCTCCTGTATCTGCGAGGGATACTAAGCGCCCTGAATTAGTAGTTGAAGTGAGTATCTGGGTGCCATTGCACATTCCAAAGACTCACACCAACATTCAGATGTACGCTTCAGATTCCTACAGGAGCTGGGTGCAATTTCTGTGGTGAATCAGATAGAGGAAAACTTACTTCTTCTGAAACACTTCGCAAGACATGGAGATCATTCGGATGCGGGAGAGTGTCTCCGATGGGACCAGACTTCACCACACACACTCTTAAACTTTGGCTTTGTCGAACATAATTCCAGGAAATTCAAACTTGACAAAGCAACCGCGAGCTTGATTTCCGGGGGGACACGTGCCAGGGAACAAGAAAGCTAATCGCACATACAGTTTTCTTCAGCTCTTGGCATCAAACTGTTATCTCCGCTCCGGACAAGATCCCTACTGAATGAGGTTCAAAAGTCCGATGATCCGGTGCTGAGTTCGGTTGTTGTACAACAGGCTCGGCATGCTATTTGTGTCTCAGACAACTAATCGCTCGTGACCAGCGCCCCTCCCCGAGCTGCGTACTCCTACAAGCTTCAAACAAAAAGCGCAACGGAAATTCTTACTTAGGACGACAAATGATCCACAGCAGCCGTGGACTACTTTGTATCAAACAGCGGCACAAACCTTCGATGTCTAAGTCTCGCGATATCGCGCATGTCCCTTTGTCGCCGTACAGCGGCTTCTCGCAGTGGCAGCCTGCAGGAAGTTCGTTTAAGACGTTTGCTCCCCGCTTTCCATCCCGTCATCATTGATTTCACCCTTTCTTCCGCAGAATAAGCATCCCGCGCCGCAAACTCTATGATATAAACAGTAGTATTTCTTCCTCCAAGCTCCCACCATCCCTCCCAACAAGCTACGGCATTCATTTTACTTTCTCGAACTACTCCGTACCTACTCCAGCCTTGCAGTAGCAAACGACGAGAACAAAAATGCTCCGCAACACCGGCGCCGCCGCCCTCACCCCGCCGGGCTCTCCACCGACGTACAAAGCGTACCTGCGCCCGTACTGGTTCATCCAACGCGACAACGGTGCCTATGTCCCCGTCATCCCCGTCGACGAACTGCCGCCGGACATCGACCTTGAAGAAGCGCCGCGATGTCTGAACATGGACGATGCGCAGGGAATGAAGTTTCTCGGGAAGCTCGCGTTCAGTGGCCAGACGTACAGTCTTGCTGTAAGTGTTGAAGTTATCGCGGGGCGGGGTTGGGAAAGGCTGTTTTCCCCCTTGACGAAATGGATCGGAATACTGACGGGTTATTGCAGCAGCAGAAGCAGCAGCAGCAGCAGCAGGTCACACCCGAAGCCGACTGGCCACTGGATAGCAAGTGGACGCGCCGCTACCCGTTGCAGCACCGGACGTGCTCGCAGACCGGGCTGCGGCCGTTGATTCTCGGCTCGACCACGCTGCCAAGGGAGACTTCCGCGGATGATGCACACGGCAGACCCCACAGCGATGCCAAAACTCTGGTAAGAACCATCCCTGACAGAGTCCCTTTGCACAGTTGGGACCAGAATATTCAATCCTGCTTTTTTTAATGGGTAGTTCAAGCACATGTCCGGGGGTAGATGTGGGGTTTAAAAACTCTACGAATACGTCCGGATAGTGAATTTAACTACCGGAGCACGCATTACTGAAGATTTCTAATGCCTCAGTCTCCGCTTGTGCCTGAAACCTCCTCCTCCATCGTGCGCATTAGCTAATACCACTTTCCCTTTACCAGAAAGCCTTAACCTCATCGAGCCCGGTCTCGACCACCATCACCAGACCCCTTCCCCCGTCAGGCCGCGAGCCCGACCACTCGAAGAAGGAATACTGCACCTACTGGATCCGCACGGGCGAGTGCGACTTCACCCAGCAGGGCTGCCTGTTCAAGCACGAGATGCCGGACCTGAAGACGCTGCGCGAGAAGATTGGCATCAGCAGCGTTCCGCATTGGTACCAGGTCAAGACTGCAATCCAGAGGCGGAAGGAGATGGATTCCGGTGCCGTTGATGGTGCTGGAAAGGGTGTGGGAGAGACCCCGCGGTGGTTGAAGGATGTAGTGAGGAAGAATGCGCAGGGCCAGGATGCTGTGAGCGATAGTGGGAGCAGTGATGGGGAGGAAGAAGGAGAAGTGGGAGAGGAGGTGCTCACGCCGCCGTCGTCCAATACCAGCCCCAACAGTGCCACCATGGCGAGCAATCCCATCGCCAACACTGCGACGCGAATCGCGTCCACCCCGAGGCTGTTCCGCGCCCCGGATTTCGAGGTCAGGAGGAGGAAGGAACAGACGCCGCGCCAGGCGGATGAACTGGACCGGGACGACATTTCCCTCATCGACCTCTCGTCCGCCCCTCATCCCCCAGCACCCGTGGCCGCAACGAAGCCGTTCCTGCCATCGTCGTCGAACAGACACCAAGCTCTGAAACCCCTCCCCCGTCCCCCCTCCGTCGCCCGCGCCACCCGCAGCATCAGCGACGCCCAGGCCGACATCGTCAACCTCATGCACCACAGCCGCACCGCGAGCAGCCCCGGCCTCGAGAAGCACAACAAGCGCCACAGCGACCCCCCGGCTACTACCACCAGCAGCAGCAGCAAGCTGAACTTCACAACCACGACCACCACGACCGCCACGAAGCGCAAGTCCTCCGCCCTCCCGCAGATGAAGCGCTACTTCGCCCCGCTCCCCACCGCTACCACCACCCCCGCCCCAGCGCCAGCGGCAAAAGAGAAAGTGAAGGCGCAACCCCGCGCCGCCACCCCCGCCCCCACCACCAGCAGCATCCGCGCAACCGGCCTCCGCGCATCCAGACACGCGCCGCCGCCGCCGCCTCTACCACCGTCACCGCCTCCTCCTCCTCCGCCGCCGCCGCCTCCGTCCGCCAGCAATAGCGTAATCGGCGACGATGACGACGACGACGCCATGCTGGGTTTCGCGCCGATGTCGGTGTCGTCGGTGTTTGCGGATGATCATCATCGGCGCCGGCGCCGCCTCTTGGGGGAGTTGGGCATGCGGGAGGAGGAAGGGCGTGGTGGTGGAGGGCAGGGGCAGGGGCAGGGAGGACCGGCTGCTCCTGCTGCGGCGTATATTAAGGGGGGAGGGAGGGTGGCGATGAGGAGGGGTGGGGGAGGTGGTGGGGGAATTGGTGGTGGTGCGGGGATGATGACGAAGGTGCCGGTGAAGGCGGGGGGTGGTGGGGGAGTATCGGGAACATTGGGAGGAGCGGCGGCGGTGAGGGGGAGGAGGGAGGGGGTGAGGGCGAGGCAGGTTGTTGTGTGAAGGGGGGAATTGGGGGGATTGCGAGTGGGGGTGATGAGGTGGGGTGGTGCAAGGGGAAGGCTATATGGGTGAGAGATATCGGGCAGGTTGTGGGTAGTTGGGACGATCGTCTGGATGTAAATGTGAAACTGATATATGGGACGGTAGCAATTCGCTACACCTTTCGCTGAGACTAAAGAGAGAATAAATGAATTAGTTTGTGTCAGAGCAGAATTTCTAGTCAAGGGGTAATGCTTAAGCTGACCCGTTTATGTGTGAGCATGAGTTGTACAAATGCGAAATTTCGCGTAAATATCCAATTCACCGTCAAAAGTTGGCTGGAAGCCATCTTTCTTTCATCTAAGATAGGCTGAATAAGAGCCGCCAGTCATATTGTGTCCATGGAGTGTCTAAGCAGTTATGCAATAACATCCAACATGAGCAGCGATACACATATGGGGTAGATAGAAGTACGCACATTCGGGGTTCAAAATTACTTCAGTCAAAAGTACGTTAGCTTTTGCTTTACAGCTGTGTTTGGGGCGTACTTGGATATTGTATCGGCCAGGAGCTATTGCTTGAAATCAGGAAAGAAGAAAAGTGAAAATATCCAGTACATAAGGATTTTCAGGGATTTCTCCAGCTGCCAACATGGACAAAATCCATACACTTCCGGTAATATCCAACTCCATGGCAGAATGACTCTATACGATGCACACAATACTGACAAGTAGAAAACTCAAAATGATTCAGTATATCCTCTCCCAAACGGTTCCCAGAAGATCCCTTCGAAAACGACTCATTCTAATACACTGTTCCAGTAGTGACTCCTCTTCGAGACGCCCAAGCTCGCCTGAGAGAGGGACAGCCATTTCTTCAATACCAGACCACAATTCAAAGTCCCTGCCTCTTGTGTCCAAGTCCGCAATGTCGCGAAGAGCTCGTTGGCTTGTGAAACGGCCACAAAGAAGCCAGGCAACAATCTTGGGGAATGGAGAAGCTGCCCGAACCGCGCTCCAGATCTCTCCGTTCTTGTCATAGGATATTCTGGAGCCTCGACGAACAAGCATCTTCACACAAGAGAAGCGAGCGGTTGCGCAAGCAGCAATTAGCGGTGTGCCTTCATTTTCATCATGGTACTCTATGTCAGCACCGTAATGTAGTAAAGTCTCTAGTATCTCCAATTGGCCGGCAGCTACAGCGCTATGGAGAACGCTGACAGATCGTGAACGTCTCGCTTGCTCGTGTGTCGGAAACGGAAATGAACAGGGCGGCGATCGTCTCATGAGTTTTCGTAGCAATGAAGCGGGGTTTTCTCTGATCATCATGCTCAGGTCTATCCGAGAAAGGTCGTGTGTGTGGTCAAAGGCCAGAACCGAGTTTAGTGCCAATGATGCAACGCCGGGCCACTTGTTTGCGAGAGCAAGTCCCAGCGGCGACAGACCTGAACAATCCAGAGTTGGGCGATATCCTTTGGAGAGAACGGCGGTAAGGACCTCGACCGATGATGTGCAAGCGTAGTTCAAGACGTCCCTCCCATAGGCGTCTCGCAGCAGGAAATTTGCCCCGCACGCATGTAGTAGATGGAGGTTTCTGAGAGAGCATTTATGAGCAGACAGCATTGCTGCTGTAGCAAATTCCGAATCTGCAGCGTCAACCTCCGCACCCCACCGAATGAGTTCCCAAACGCAGCTTGGTGAAGCCTGTTCGGCTGCGTAGTGAAGCGGTGTTCTGTACGCTCTGCTGCGGATGTTCACAGCCGCACCATACTCTAGTAACAACTCGATTGACTCCAAGTCATTTTTTACGGCAGCTAAATGTAAGGCTGTAAAGCCCTCTGCCGCGCTATAGGCCATTCCTGTGACAGCATGAAAATCCTCGCCTTGCAGCCAGTTCAAGCGTGCGGCTGGTAATCGAGAGTTTATCACATCGGAAGCCGAGAAGTGATTACCTAAAGTAGTCTTTGAGGTATGCAAGGACCGTGGTGTGATGCTGTGCTTTTTAATGTGGCGAAGAAATTTGCGCAGGAAGCGTCCGTTGAAGTAGACCGCGGCGAACACCAAATTGTACCGGTGGAAGAAGTATAGGTGCGACAGGTTGAGCCCAATTTCCAGCATCATCTCATCGCGGTCGATGAAAGCAGCAAACATAAGGGGAAAGGCGCGTTCGGGCCAATCCTCGCACAGCCTTCCAGTCACCGGAAAGCCCCGTTCAACGAAAAGCTCTACTAGTGCTCTGTCGTTCTGCGCGTATGCAAGACAGACTGGGGTACAGTCTTTGCAGTTGGCGTGTATGGACTCTGGTCTAATGTCTTGCTCAATAAGCCGGAAACAGAGTTTCAAGCTCCCATGCTCGATTCCGATCCGCATTTTGTTTGCCAGATCTTGTTTGATTGACATGTGGCCTTCTTTATACCAGTTAGCTCTAAATGAGGTAATCTTTCCGTACTTTATGACTAACCTCTACTATGCATCTCATACTTCTCGAGGAGTTGGGTAGTGCTTTCGCGCAATTCCATAATGGCGTACATCCATGGCGTGATATTATCTTTGTCAGGAGCATATGATGATCCAAGGTCAAGAAGCGCTTTCACCGTTATGCTTTCTCCATATCTCGAAGCGTGATGAAGTGGCAGCATCCCTGCAGAAGTGGTTGCATCCAGATCTGCGCCTGCAGAAATCAGCGCGTCGATGATATCAAGCTGTCCTGAATGTGCTGCGAAATGCAAAGCTGTTGTTCCATCATCATTCGAGGACCGTGGATCTGCACCTTTCGAAAGGAGGTACTCAAGAGCATCCAGAGTACCGCAGTACGCAGCAATATGCAATGCAGTCTCCCCACTACCTGCACGGTTGTCCACGTCAGGAAACAGGTTGTGATCGAAAAGATATCGTAAGGCACCAGCTGCTTTGCTTGCAGGGTCGGCCGCTAAATGCCAAACTGTACATCCCTTAACAACGTGCCAACCCTTTTTCTTGTTCTGAAAACTCCAATCAGTGATGCCCAGAGACGATCTTTCGAGGCCCTGAGTCTCATCAATGACTTGCAACGCTGCTGGAGACCCTGCCCAAGCCGCAAGGTGAACCGCAGATGCGCCGTTGATATCCTTGGCAGAGATGTCTGCTCCAGCTTGGATGAAAGACCGCACAAAATCTGCTCTGTCACTGCTTGAGCTGCTGATCGAATGAAGCAGTGGAGTGGCGTTGTATTGCTTCTCTCTGTGTTCGATGTTGAGGCCCATCTCGAGTAGGACGTCTATAAGCCCTAAGTTTTGATCCTTGAACCCAACAGTGCATAGCACGTGGAGAAGGTTTTCGCCGGTTCGTGGATGGGGTCTGTTACGAGCTTCCAAATCGCATCTCTCAAGAAGTGCTCGGAGGAAGCCCTTCGGAGTTCTGACTCGGCACGCGCAGTCAAGTGCTGAGTTCCAGCCATGCTCTGAGGTACGCCAGGTGGGATCAACTCCTTTTTCAAGTAATATCATACTCAGGTCTTGAATACCCCTCTCGACAGCCCAATACAAAATGTTCGGTCCAAGAGATGTTTTTGAGAGCTCATCGGGGGTTTTGGAATGCTCTATTAGAAAACGAAGCAGACCAACAAAATGTTTCAATTCGCAGCTTTTAGGCATCGCGGTGTAGCAGTCAGGCCTGTGTTTGAATTGACTGTGGGCCATGTGTGTTTCGAAAATCACCTGAAGAGGCGTCCGTCCAGAAGAGCATGACGCTGAAATGTCGGCCCCCAGCGCGACCAGTATTTCCAGGATATGTGGTGGCTTATGCACCAGGTATGGACCGGAACAGAAAGACTCCAGAGCTGTTATGCCGTTGTAATCTTTCAGATTAACCACTTCCCTCGTCGCCAACATTTCAATTAAGGCCCTGGTTTCTTCATACTCTCCAAGCTCAGATCGTTTCCAGATGCTTTTTGAAGAAAAAAGTACGTGTAGAGCTGTTTGTCCTGTTTCATTTACTGACTGTGCGTTTAGCCCCATATCAAGGAGAAAAGAGACCTTTTCTCGTAATTCTTTCAAGGAAGCAGGGAGGGAGCATTTCGAAACGGGCATATCGACAAGGTAATGCAGCACAGAAGATCCATCAGGGCCTTTGCAGTGGAAATCCAGTCCCTTTTCAACCAGAAATTGGAGGGTGGAAAGGCGAAGATGAATTCCAACATGTGCTATAGTGAGACATGTTTTACTCTTTACTTCGAGTGATGTCGCGTGAGGAAACAGGAGAAGGAATGCGTCATCGGACGCAGCTTGGGCCGCAGAAAAGAGTGGTGAAAATCCATTGTGATCGACTCGGGAAAAGCTGGTAGTAGTCGCTAAGCCTTGCTGAAGTAGCTCTTGTAGTACAAGAACGTTGTTCCTATCTGTAGCCAAATGCCATACCGTTCTTCCGGCATTATCCGATGCATCGAGAATAGCTCCTTTACTAAGTAGCACTCTGAGAATATCAAGGTGGTGGCTATACGCGCATTTGTGCAGTGGTGTCTGCCCTTTATGGTCTCGTGATTCGATATTGGCTCCGAGCGATATGAGTAAGTTTGTTGCGCGAATAGAGCCGTTGCAAGCAGCCAAATGGAGCGCAGTCATTCCTTTGTGTGCAATAACGTCATGCACGCGTTCAGGATAGGCTTTGAGTAGACCTTCCAAAGATTCCACTGCATCAAGCTCTACCGCTAGAGGAAGTGACCGTGTTGGCCAGATATCTGGGGTTGAATGCGGTCTCTCACTTGAGTCCAGATCTTTCGTGTGAAGATCTATAGCTTTGATCAATTTGTCAACTTCGGATCTTAGATATGGGTCGAGTTGTTGTCTGCTAAGAGAGTTGACGACATTTCTGACCATGTTGTATTGCTGGGCTGCAATGTAGTCTTCCAAGATGCGGAGACAGTGCGTATCGAAGCACCCTGTAAAACGTGGGGAGTGCACAAATGATGTGCAAAATGGGATGGCACACATCAAATTGATCTGCAGAAAGTTGTAGTCGTGGTGAAAGCAGTCCCTATATGACAACTTCGGATCTGCGCCAGATAAGAACAAGGACTCCAAGATCGTGTTTGAAGCCTTATTTTTCCCGTTCGTGTGTAAGACCGACAGGCCATCCCGCAAATACTTCAAATTGTCGAATTGTCCAAAAAGGGCAAATTCTCTCAGTATTGCGCAATGAAGTGGTGTTCCGATCTTGCTTAACTGATTGGCATTGGATCCTTCGTTCAAAAGCCAGTTCACCACCCACTCAAGCTGCCACATCGCGCCAAAATGGAGTGGACTGACATTGTTACTTGCCACTGTCGATGTGATTATAGCGAAAATGTCATCATCATCGATGGCGTTGCAACTGCCTAGTGAAATATCCTGAGCGTAGTTGATTAACTGGAAAGACTTTTGTGGGTGGAACAACACTTTGGCCTGTTCTCGTATAGTTGGATCGTCCCAGTGACCAGACGCGTAAATCCTCCAGTCAACGGCTGCAACTTTGTGAAATGGATAAGCACGGCAGAGTGCCAGCCACTCATCATAGCTTTGAGCTGGTGCCTGATCAAAATCCTTGCAGTTCAGGTACCTCAAGCATATTTCAGCCAAATATTCAGAAATCTTTCTTGGGTCTGCATAGAAGAATGCAAGATCTTTGTGATTCTTCAAAGCAGCTGAGCACAAGTACTCCTTGACAGTGAAGTGGGCCAACTCCAGTTGTTTGCCGCTTATAGACTTCCGCATGAGGCTGCTGCAGTACCTCAGAATGCCGTTTTCATCGGGCTGCGATGATGAGTCCAGAGCAGTTGTGGAGTCATCCACAGACAAGGCCTCACAAAGCTCCTCAATTTCGAGCGGGTTTGCCGCTCCAATGGTCCAAAAAAGAGCATCTCGCACGATTCTTTTGGTGATTGGGGGTTTGCTAGCCACTTCACGCAAGATCCGTTCGTATGTAGCATTCAAATCTGGTGGCAGACGTGTCAATGCCTCACGGAGAGCTCGATCGTGCGGCAACTCGCAGAGATAGTCAATCTGGCAGGCAACCCAGCGAAACCTATATATTAGACAATTAGCTGAAATCTCCGCTTCCGATTATGTTGGACTTACATTCCATCTGCACCGTTGATGAGTGCCTCGATGATTTCATTCTTCAAGCCAGGGGTCTTTATACGCAGATTTCCCTTGCGAGCCCTCGACTCTATCTCTTCAGCAACAAAGATCTTAACATCATCGTTATGTGCTGCAATAGGAATGTGCATGAAGTTGTCCAATATGTTATTGATGTCGAGCTCAGCTCGGCTGAGAAAAGCGGTCCGAATGTTGCTGCCTATGCCCTTGTTCAAACTGGCCAGATCCTCCGCGGTCACTGTCCGATCGCTGCCACATTCGTCCAAGGCATCTACGACGATCGAAACTGCATCGAAAGACATACTCATCTCTTGTACTAAAGTCAACAATCTGGAAGCCTTGGGTGTAGAAGGAGAACAAGAACGGTAGTAATCCTGCAAAAGCTCGAAGCTGCGCTCGGATTTGTCTTGTCGTGCGAGCTGGCAAGCAATTGCACCCAGAATGTTGGAGGACTTTTGGTGCTCCGGTTTGTTATAGTCGCAGTAAAAGTAAGCAACTGCCTTCTCCGATGAGCCAGAAGCCTGCCTTAGCATCTCCTCAATGACGACGGACGCAAGAATAGTCTTTCCAGCACCGGGGATTCCAGAAAGCCAAAGCCTTGACCCAATGTGGTTCGCCCAAGCAATAAAGGCCGTATTTGAAAGCAACCAGGAGCCGGTCTCACGATGACGAAGACCCTTACTCGTTTCGTGCTTTTCTGTTGGATCCACACTACCAAAAAACTGCAAGACTTCCTTGCGTTTTGCGTCTAGTGCAATACGTGTCTCGATCTCTCGTTGCTCATTGAAATCTTCTCGGAGAGCCCTGATACCGGCACGAAGGTCGTCCTGGCCGGAACGAAGTTCATCTTGACCGGAAAGAAGCTGTTGGAGGTGCGTGATACTGTCAGCCGAAAGCGCGACAGTGATCACTCTCTGGTGGCGGTTGATCTCTTCAATGAGTTCCTTGGTCTCCGTGGATGAAAAGGGCCATTTCAGCTTCTTCAAGACCGAACGGACTTTTCCGCCGTCAGGGTTTGATGGATCAGCTTCCCGAGTTTTCCGGTCAATCTTCAGCAGAACTTGCTGGCATGTGATGACGTGCTGTAGTCGAAACGTCCAGACAGTTGGGCCAACCTCGAGTTCGGTCGCTACCATGGAGAGGCTGTGCAACAGGCCAGCAAGTGTTCGAATTTCGTTGGCAAGAGTCTGGGCACTGGATTCGGCTCCTTTGACGGCTTTGGCGTATTTGTACACCCGGCTGAAGACGATATCGGCGAGACCGAGTAGGCCAGCAACGCCACTCGCGACAGACAAGGGATCTCCCATTTTGCTTTTGTCGATCGGACGCTGGTTGGAGGTTTGTGAGGCTCCTTTGTGCTACAGAAGCCCGACTGGTGTCAATATGTTCCAGGAGGCGAGGAAAAGGACTAAAACAAAATAAAGGAGAAGAAATGTGGTGGAACAATGCGACGAGTCTCTGGGGCCCAGTCATAGATATTAGCGAAACCTGCCCAGCCTCGCCGTAAGCAACATCCATGTTGAACTCCAAGCTGCAGTGCAGACTGCTGACTGAAGCCCATATGTCCATGTTGGGCGAAGGCTGCAGAACTAGTCGGCCAATCGGAGGCGACTACGGATCACGAAGTATTGACTTTCCTAAGCGTTTCCTACTGGACGCTGCATAGTGAATACGGATAAATAAACCTAATTTTTAGATGCATCGAAAAAGTTTAGAAGGTTCAGTCATGCCTAGGTGACTGTTTCAGCTACTCACGTGCGAAGAATATAAGGTCCTTTATCGGTCTTAGACTGAAATCGTCTGCACCCTCACCGTTCTATTTTGGTGCGACACGCTGAGCAAATGACCAACGGCACACCTTCGCCTAATAAGAATTCACAGGAAAAAGCAAAGGCAGTCACAAGGCGGCGCAGCGGAGATCGGGCGCACAGGGAGTTATACCGAAAGAAGTATAGAGTTTCAGATCTCTGCGAGGAGCTCGGGTGTGATTACTCGCATAAAGGGTGGGCGCAAAAGTGGACCGTCCGTAGCGAGATATCTGCGATTAGATGGCTCAGTTTTCCAGCAAAAAAATTAGGCGGCACGGGACTGTTTTCTTCATCTGATAACACGGACACTTCGTCCTGAAAATGGTTGCAGCGTTTGTTCCGGCTCATAGCAGAGCTATCCGTCATTTTCGGTTCAAGTGTTGACCGTAGACTCTGTGTTACCCTATCGTAAACAAGGGGCTTTTTCAAGCAACATGATTGGAGAGTGTACAATAACTGTCGACCACAAAAGTGGTCAGACTACTGCATCGTGTAGCACCCATCCCCGCTTGCTACCAGCCAGACCTTGCAACGGTCGCAAAGCCTTTCCGATATTTTTGGCATGGCGGTGGTTAAATTCCCAGGTCTCTGTCTCTCCCCGCCGCCCGACCTGAAGCCAGCCATCTTCCGTCCTTCCCACCTCGCACCGGCCAAATTCGAGCAGCAGAAACGAGACTAAACAGGAAAACAAACCACCAGCCTTGCAACGTCAGCCTTCAGCCCTGTACCACCCACCATGGCCACAATCGAGCCGGGCGTCGCCACCTCCGACCCCTCCCTCCGCGCCAAGTATACGGCCGAGCGCAACAAACGGCTCCGCGCCGACGGCGTCGCGCAGTTCGTCCCGCTCGCGCAGGCTCCACACCTCTCGCATCTTGCGCGCGATCCCTGGGTCAGCGACGACAAACCCACCGGCAACGGCGCCTCCACCAATGGCACCTCTGTCAACGGCACTTCCACCAATGGCGCCAACGTTACCTCCAACGGTACTTCCACTACGTCCAACGGCACCAACGGTACCACCAACAATGGCACTATCGGCACCTCGACAAATGGCACTCCCCCCTCCACCTCCCCCATCCAAACCAAACTCCTCATCCTCGGCGCCGGCTACAGCGGCCTCCTCTTCGCCGCACACCTCATCTCCACCAACCAGTTCCCCCCCTCATCCATCCTCTTCGCCGACGCGGCGGGGGGTTTCGGCGGGACGTGGTACTGGAACCGGTACCCGGGCCTGATGTGCGACACAGAGTCCTACATCTACATGCCGCTGCTCGAGGAAACGGGCTACGTGCCGCGGCACAAGTACGCGTACGGAGACGAGTTGAGGGAGCATGCGGTGAGGATAGCGGAGAGGTGGGGGGTGCAGGACAGGGGCGTGTGGGGGGTGAGGGCGAGGGAGGTGAGGTGGGTGGAGGAGAGGGGCAGGTGGAGGGTTGGGATGGTGAGGGAGGGGGGTGGAGGACGGCGACGAGGGGGTGGGGAGGGGGACGGAGAAGAGAGGAGGGACGGGGAGGAGAGGAGGAACGGAGAGGACAGGATGGACGGAGAGGAGAGGAGGGACGGGGAGCAGCAGGAGGAGGTGGTGATAGACGCACAATACGTCTTCGTCGCCACCGGCACGCTCTCTACGCCGCATGTGCCAAGAGTCCCTGGCCTCGACACCTTCGCTGGCCCCTGCTTCCACACCTCGCGGTGGGACTACGGCGTCACGGGCGGCAGCCCCTCTGACTGGCGTCTGGAGAAGTTGCGTGGCAAGACGGTCGGCATCGTGGGGACGGGCGCGACGGCGGCGCAGGTCGTGCCCGAGCTGGCGCGCTGGGCGGAGCGTCTATACGTCTTCCAGCGCACGCCATCGAGCGTCGACGAGCGCGGGCAGCGCGCCACGGACCCGGAGGAGTGGAACGCCAAGGTGGCGAAGGGCGAGGGGTGGCAGCGGGCGCGGGCGGAGAACTTCAACGCGTATCTGACCAGTACTCCAGAAGAGGGCGAGGAAGATCTGGTGGCGGATGCGTGGAGCCGCATGCCTTCGTACGCGGCCATCCTGGGGGCACCGGGTAACGCCGGGATCGTGACGCCGGAGAAGGTCCCAGGGCACGTCGCCCAAATGCACGAGTGGGACCTCAGCCGGGCGGAGAGGGTGCGGGCCAGGGTGGATTCGATCGTCGCGGACGCGGCAACGGCGGAGAAGCTCAAGGCGTGGTATCCCGTGTGGTGCAAGCGGCCCGTCTTCCACGACGAGTACCTGCCGGCCTTCAACCGGGCGAACGTTACGTTAGTCGACACGGACGGGAAGGGTATCGACGGCTTGAGCAGGGCCGGCGTCGTCGCTAACGCCATCGAGTATCCCGTCGACGTGCTCGTGCTCAGCACGGGGTTCGTCTCACCGGCCGCGGGCACAGGGAGTCCCGCTTCCAGAGCGGGCGTCAAGGTGTATGGGAGGGAGGGACTCGACATGGATGCCAAGTGGGGCCGGCAGGGGGCCGCGACGCTGCATGGCGTGGCTTCGAACGGGTTCCCCAACTTCTTCTTCCCCGGCCCTTCGCAGGCCGGCGTCACTTCGAACTTTACGTTCGCCTTGGACAGGATCGGGGCGCATGTTGCCTTCATCTTGGCCGAGGCCGAGAGGCGTGCGGAGAGGCCGGACGAGCTCGTCGTCGAAGTGACCGAGGAGGCCGAGGAGGCGTGGTCAAAGGAGGTCATGATTAGAGCAGGGTGGTTCGCCGCTGTGCGAGGATGTACGCCGAGCTACATCAACGCCGAGGGCGAGAGCGACAAGGCCAAGGACTTGGCGGAGCAGATGAAAGCAGCCCGAGCGGCGCCCTGGGGAGAAGGGGTGACCAGATACCTGGACGTGTTGCGCACCTGGAGAGAAGAGGGTGGTCTCACCGGGTACGATCTGCTTGAGCGACAGCCAATCACTTCCAAGTAAAAACGAAAGCAAAGCGAAATTTGATATTTTTAAGATCTACTATAATCAGCAGACTTGAGCACATCTATGTCTTTTCATCCATATACATCGTCCATCACTTCTACTCCGGCTTGGTGCTGGTGACCAGAGTCTTCTTCGACGGCTCCTCCTCGTGTCTCGGGATGACATGGCACTTCTGCTTCCTGTCGACGCCCAGCCACAGGAGATCCGGCCTGCTGTAGTGGCCGATGTTGTCCAGGAAGGACCTGTTGGCCACGACCTTGGTCAAGTCCAGGTCCGCATAGACAATTCCCTCAGTGGCCGGATCGCCGCCGTTAAGAGGCTGCGTCAATCTCCTGCCGTCCGGTCCAACAACGCAGCTGTGCCCGCCACCGGGGGTGTGGAACAACAGGCCCTTCTGCGTACCCATAATGTTCATCCCCTTCTCCGTGCACACGCCCGTGCAGTGCAGCACGTATCCACCACCCTCAACCGCGTACGTCTGGCTCAGGTTCTGGCAGCCCTCGGCGCTCATGCTCCACAGGCCCGGGTGGTCGACGCCCGGGTGGGGGTCGATCGGGGGCCAGGCGGCGATGTGGATGACCTCGCCGTGGGCGTACGAGTGGTACTTGAGCAGCGGCTGCGTGTGCTCCCAGCACGCGAGGGCGCCGACCTTGACGCGGCCGACGTCGCCGCCAAAGTCGAGCTCGACGACGTTCTCCAGGTCGGCGCCGGAGCCGTCGCCGAAGGTCGCGCGCTCGACGTGCGTCGGCTTGATCTTGCGCCGCGTCATGACCACCTCGCCCGCCGGCGAGATGATGGCCTGCGAGATGTACAGGCTGTGCGTCGACGCCCGCTCAGAGAAGCCGAGCACCACCGCGATCGAGTGACGCTTGGCCACCGCCTTGATCTGCTCCATCTCGGGCGAGTCGAGCGCAAGCGAGTTGTAGATGTATTTGGTCGTCAGCTCGAAGTCGACGGGGCGGGCCCTGCGTGGAATTGGGTGGTCAGAGCGTGGGGGTTGCTTTTTTTGGGGGCGATGGGTATACACACCAGATCCAGCCCGGGTAGCCGGTGATCCAGCATTCGGGGAAAGCAATCAATCTGGCGCCATTGCCTGCAGCTTCGGTGATAAGATCGCACGTCTTCTTGACAGTGCCGGCCAAGTCAAGCCACTCGGGCTCGGCCTGTGTGACGGCTACGCGAAGGACGGGGGCCATGATTAAGGCTTGGTACGAATGCGGAGGAAGTTAAAAGGTTAGGGAGCAGAGAGATCCGTTTGCTGGTCGAGCTCGTTCAATTTGGCCCTTCTTGTCTACATTTATGCAGCTGCGCCGCAGCAAGTGCCAGCTGTACTCAAGGGCGGTCAGGCTTGTCGATAGCTGCGCCGCCCGCTTTTAAATTAGCAGTACTGTTGGCGGGCCGTAAGGATGCTCCCGACGGCGCGGCGCGGCCATCCATGACTTGGGGCATTGCAGATCCCTCCAGAACCGTGCCTGGACGTGCGGTGTACGAGTCGCCGAACCTGACTCGGCATATTCGTATCCTCCGCTTTATTGAGAGGCCGCTCGGGACCACCTCGCCAAACCATCCTCCATCAAGAATCCTGTCTCAGACGACCAATGCTATGCCCAGCCGAACCCCGGCGCCGAGCAATAGGATGTGATTCCGACCGCGGTCCTGCATGAGGCGACACTGATCGCCAGGGGAATTTTCTGAAGGCTTCAACGGTCTCGCGATGCAGGAGGACGTTGCCATGCGATGTCTCCTGATGGTAATATTGAGCGCCATGTAGGGCTTTCTATAGAGAACTAGCCTGTATCAACAGATCGAAACTTCGCTTGCGAAATACAGTCGCGTATTATATGTCCCTTTTCTCGGCCGTCGGCTGTCGGCCCAAATGTCCACAATCCGGCACTACCCTTATTGCTGGCTCGCCTGCTCCGTGGCTTCGGATTTCACCAAGCCCACTCACTACCTCTCGCTAGACAAGTGTTCCTTGAGCCAACACCAGGATGGACTTCACCCCGAATCTTGTCGAGATCTACACGCTGTATGGAATCGGCACCTGCATGATCTTTGCGCGAATAGCATGCAGAACAAAACTCGTGGGCGTTCGCGGCTGGCATCCTGATGACTACATCATCTTCCTCAGCTGGGTGAGTACGGCACACCGGTTCACTAATCCGCCGAGTGGGACATGTCGCAGATGCTGACCACCAATCAGTCCCTATACACGTCCGTCACAGTCGTAGCCCACGTCTTTATCATCAAGGCTGGCGGCAAGCACACGTCCCTCCTTACACATGACGACCGGCGGCTCATGCCGGCCTCGCAAGTCCCTGCGTGGGAATACGGCTCAAAGATCTTCATGCTGGGCCAGATGCTGTACGCCTCCATTGTCTGGTCGCTGAAGTTCAACATGCTCTTCTTCTACCGCCGCATCACGCGCGGTCTCTGGGTGGAGAAGCTCATCATCCCGGCCATTGCATTCGTCGCCATCACCGGGACAACGGTGCTCCTGGTCTTCACTTGCACATGTCGGCCCTTCCACAAGCTTTGGCAAGTGTGGCCTGACCCAGGCGGTACGTATTGCCCCTCCCAGCCCCGCTCTCTCCCTTCGCCCGACGGAGATACTGACATTCTCTCTCGGTGTTAAGACCACTGCGAGCCGCAAAACTACGTCTTCTTCCTCTCGGTCCTCATCATGAACATGCTCACGGACCTGATAATCATGCTGATCCCGCTGCCCGTCATCACCAACGTCCAAGTGTCGCTCCCGCAGCGGCTGGGCCTGTACCTGCTGTTCGGGCTGGGCATCTTCTGCATGATCGCGGCCGTGCTGCGCGTCGTCTTCGTCTTCGCGCTCAACCAATCCGGCATCAGCGCCATGTGGTCCATCCGCGAGGACTTTGTCGCCGTCTTCGTCGGCCAGGCCCCCATGCTGCGCCCCATCTTCACCCGCGGCTTCTGGACCGGCGAGACCGACTCGTACGGCAAGGGCAGCAAGGCCAAGAGTTACGGGAACCGCAGTGGGAACATCGAGCTCGATAGCAACCCCGACCACAGCAAGCACAGTCGCAAGGGCAGCACGGCCGCGTTTGGCGGCAGCGGCAAGAAGAAGGATCCGTACAGCGTGACGCAGATCATGAGCGAGAGCCAGGAGGAGATTGTCAAGGGCGGCGCTGGCGATATGGAGGCCGGGGCCAGGGTCGTTACGCAGAGGGAGAGTGCTACGCATCTGACTGTGAACGTCCAGAGGACTGTGCAGGTTGAGAGCAGGGAGACTACGGCTGATGAGGCCAGGTATGAGCAGAGGGTGGAGCGATGGGTATAACGACCCCGCAACCGCGATGGCACTGATGGACGGATAAGGCGGTTAAGTTTTGCTTTTTTGTTTGTATTTATATTCTCCAAGATGGGACAGATGGTATAGCTTATAGGTTTATTTCCAGGGTAATGTTGGCGCTGGCAGGTTGCAACACGGCTTCGTGGTGGAGGGGCATCGCTGGGGAAGGATCGAGTGCTACAGTGTACGGACCACATACGCACGGCAAAAGTTCCTATTGGTGGGTTTGTTCTACAAAAGATTTTTGGTATCCAAGCGTTTCATATACATGACTTGGCATTGGAACGAGTCAAGACCCATTCCTGCGCCAAGGCCCCCCTGCAGGTGCGTCGCTTGGAGTTTAGGAGTTGCCGAATGAGGAAACCCTTGCTGAGCAATATCACCACTATCCTTCCAACCAACGACAAAGAGATACAGATTGAGTCGGCCTCTCTCAGTTGTCCGTCTCACAATCTAGGCAGTCTGCTCAATCCTCCTGCCCACAAGATAGTCAAGGTACTCGACCACACCCTTGATGGTTTTAACTCCCTTCGTCTCCAGAACAGACTTTCCAGCCATCATGAGCATTCTCTCGGGAGCGGGTTGCGCGAGGTACGGCACGATCCTGACCTTGTGCGCAGCCCTCCACACCTGCAATTGAAACCAAATTAGCCATCCGCTTCATCCGGGCAAGCGTAAGGTAAGGTCGTAGAGAAGAACAACAACACTTCGAGAACAACAACGAGAGACAACACTTACCCGCACCTGCTTCGCGATAGCCGCCATCTCCCTCTCCACCTCCTCATCGCCCCGCTCCTTGACCTCCTTCCTGAACGACCACTTGCTCACCTCAGCGCCCAACCGCCGCTGGACCGCCGGGATGCTCGTCTTCGACTCGTCGGGCGACAGATACGACGCGAGGCCCAAAAACGCATCGACGACCTGGAAGAACGGCAGCTGATTCCCGCTCACGCCATCAAACTCGACGTACGCGCCGTCCACCCCGCTATTCTCGCCCGCCCCGTACGCGTGGAATCCCTGCACCCAGCCCAGCCACACCTCGCGCTCGATCTTCGGCTCAATCAGATTATCGTACAGCACCCTGACGACGGCCCTGACCGACTCCCGCATGCGCTTCAAGCCGGCCAGCACCGCGTCGCGGTCCCCGCGCTCCCACGCCGCCAGCGCCTCGACGACTTCGACGTAGACGGGCAGCGCCAGCCGCTCCGTCTCGGCGAACATGAAGGAGAACCAGTACTCGGCGCGGTGCACGGCGGGGCGGTCCTCCCGGGACACGCCGACGTTGACTTCGTAGACGGGACCGACCGCGTCGCCGCCCCAGTGGTAGAGGAAGTTGGACAGCGCGTTGCCGGCCTGGCTGCCGAAGCCGTAGCGGCGCTGGAGGAAGGGCCAGGGGAGCGTGAGGGCGGTGGGGTACGCGATCAGCTTTTCTTCCTGGCCGACGCGCACGGCGGGGATGGTGGCCCAGCGGAAGGCGTGCCGCGACATGGCGACGCAGGCGTAGAAGGCGTTGTAGACGGCGCGCGGCACGGGTGCTTCCGGATCCGAGGAGGATTCCGCGCGGGAAAGCAGCTGCTCCACCGCGGGAAGGTCCACTTCAGATTCGAGCAGGGTCGACATACGCGCCCGGAAGGAAGCGCGCAGCGCGTTGTTGGTGGCGTCGTCGGTGCTGGGCGCGGGCACGGCAAGGAACGGCGCGCACGCCTGCCAGACGCTGTGGTACGCGCGCAGCGGGGCCGGCCAGGCGGAGATGTCGGTGGGGAAGCGCGGCGGCCACGATCCGGCGCCGGCGTCGGTGATCATGGCGTGCAGCCGCGCTGCCGCTTCGTGCGTATCGGCCAGCGAGGCGATTCGGGAAAGCAGCGCGGGCTCGTCGACTTGGGTGGTTTGGGAGGTGGGCACATGGCGGTCGAGGGAGGAGGGGGAAGTGATGGGTTTTTTGGTGGTGGTGGTGGATGATGACTTGGGGGAGATGAAGGCGCCAGTGAGAAAAGTAAGGAGGAGGGTTTTGAGGTAACTGAGGAGGGAGAAAAAGAGTTGTTGGAATGTGGCCGCCATTGTGGGTGGTTGGCTGTGCTGAAGTCTGGACTTCGGGGTATGGATGGTCTTTGGGGTCTTCAGCAGAGAGGAGTTGAACTCTTGAAGGCTTCTTGCTGTCCTGCTGTCTCTTGCCGTCCATCCACAACATAATATAAGAAATTTTCTGCGCTTTTTTTTCACACCTTTCTTCACATGCCATCGTTCCTCTTGAGAACCTCTGAATCGTGAACACAGCCAGTGAATCTGCTAAAACTTCCTAAAAAGGAAGCAGCATTTTGTCTGAGACGCCGGCTATTCTTACCACCAGACGGGACAACTGCCGTTACGCGTCCTTCAGCGATCGGTGGACCCTCTTCAATTCCGCTTATACTGCTTGCTAAATTGTATGAACCGTCTGTCATTGGTGTGCTGCTTTCCAGCTTGTTCCGGCTCCAGCCGGTGCCTGCTTTCTTCCCTGTGTATCACACTGAGACTTGGCCAGAAAAGCAATTCAGCCAGAGCTATCACATCTGCCGTGCGGGTAGTCCACCGCCAGTGTGGTGGCATCTCTGAAAAGTACGTACAATGTGCCTGAGCTCCTCTTGGCATTTACCCGTCCCGTTATAGACATGACTAGCGGTATTCTGATTGGCCACAAAAGCCCCCACCATCTGGCATAGACACCACCATAGCCACGACGACGAGTGGGGCCTTCCTACACACAGAGTCCTCAGCAATAAACGATGGTGGTATGATGAGAGTACGCCTTGCCCGGAATACTACTTCGCGGAAATCGGCGAGCTGAGGGAGTTATGGTGGTCCGAGTCAGGATGCGGGCCCACATACCGAAGCGGAGACTTGAAACAATCCGCCAGCCCGCTTGACTCGGACTTGAGGGTCCATGAGTCCTTTCTCTCGACGTTGTCGATGATATGCTCTGCCGAACCCTGATAATTTCTGTGGATCGAGATCTGCGACCCTCACGTCGTACTTCGTACTCTGATGAAAGTGGATGGAAATAGTTGCCGGTGAAGCCGCCACCAACTGAAGCTATTACGCATTCGATTTCAGACTTTCTTGGCTTCCGTATGGAGTATTTGGAGGATGAGATGCCTGCGCTTATCACTCGAACTAATATACGCGTTCACATCCAGCCGTCGTGTGTTTTTATTCGAAAAAGTGATCTGTCTGCCCCTCTGAAGCAATTGAGAGGCATTCTTGACACTGAACGTTTTTCACCAAACGCTTTCGCCCTCAAAAACGACATTAGTACTCAAAAGCTCCACAACCGGCAAATATGGTCCATGTCTGGAATGTGAGACATGCGGGAGACTCCTACCTCTATTTTGTGGGACCTCAATGCGGGCCCAATCCCAAGCCAAATCCAACCCACGCACGCCATCAACACCACGGCCCACCATCGACCCATCACCACGACACCCCCCAAAGCACAACACCAGAAAAGAAAAAGAAAGAATCAAACCGAACACCCACCACCACCCTACACCACCACCCCCTTCTTCCCCATAACCCACCCCCTCTTCTGCCCAAACCCCCCAACATCATCATCAATCACACACTCCCCCACCTTCTCAAACCCCCACCGCTCGTACGCCTTCTGCGCTGCCAAATTTCCCTGCGACACTTGTAGCCACACGTTCGTGCGCCTTTCCTCGCGGGCCACGGTCTCTACCGCCCGCATTAGCCGCGCCCCCACACCCATTCCCCGCCCGAACGCGCCGATGTACAGCCGCTGTAACTGAATCGACGACGACGACGACGACGACGACTCAGCAGAGGGTAGGTGCTGGGCAAGGAGGAGGCAGGGTTCGGGCTCGGGCTCCAGCTGCTGCTGCTGCGTTGTCGTTGAGTCGTGGTGCCGGATCAGCAGCGCAAAGCCGAGGAGGATTTGTAGATCGTTTTCGGCTTTTGAGCCCTTGGCGCTGCCATCGCTGCTGTCGTCGTCACCACCGTAATCTTCCTCCTCTTCTCTCTCCGATGATGACGACGACGACAAAGCACTATGGGCGATGGCGTAGTTTACGACCGAGACCTTAGAAGAAGAAGAAGAGGCCAAAGCTGGCAAAGAAGACATGGGAGCCGTGGCGACGAGCATTGTCTTGTTCGGAGCGATGATCTCGGCGGCGACGGCCCGGACCGTGTAGACTTCGGCGAGATTAGCTTGCAGGTCCGCAGCTGGGATGGCGTGACCCAATGTGGCGGTGGTGACCTGTTTTCCAAGCGTGACAATGGCTGGCGCGGCGGCAGGGGAGGCGGTGGCGCGGATACGGATTTTTGGTGAGTGTTGCTGCTTGTTATTTGGCTGGGGTCGATCGCAGTGGGTCATGGTGGTGGTGGTTGGGACTATCTTGCTTGTGATTTTTCGTTCTGGATGCTTTGAATGGATGCGTAAAGGTGTAATGATTTTGCTCTATATTAGCTGCTGTTGTGAAAGTGCTGATGAGACCAAAAACTGCGGGACTTGGGAATATTTTATCCATTCCGGGTAGTCTTGACTGGATAGTCAGTTCTGACTGGGTGGTTGTTACTGGTGTTATAGGGACCAGTCAAAAGCAAAGTGACCCAGAAAAACGGAAAGATCACAAAATCTGAAGATTCAGTCAGAAGTCACGACAAAGCTACCAACTATTATCACAACTTCCTCAAAAAGTGTACCATGGCAAGAGAAGTGGTGATAATCGTCTGCTCCCAGGCGAGCCAGCGTGGTATTCTGAGTCGTATTGACGGCTTTCAAGACCTACCGTCCTACAATGAGCACTTGAAGCGCTGATTTCCACCCTTGAGCGCGCATGCTTGTGTTCTGCTCAAAGTGGTACCAAGAAAGGTGCAGAGGCTCTCTGTTGATTGAAGTGTTGTCCACCTGCAGTCTAGCCCAATTCGGCGTAGCGGTCCGCACGCTCGTCAATTGACAACCACAGGGCGTAAAGCTGAAAGCACGGCTTATCTTTTGACATCTTGCTGCTACGTTCAATCTTTGTTCCCCCCTTGTCCGCATTGGCTAGGTAGCATTACTCAGGATCGAGGCTAAACGAAGTTCGGTCCACGTATGGGTCTGGTTCAACCACGATTGGTACTCGGTTCCCCATTCGGCAACTACGTCCGGGTAAAAAGATCCAATCAGCTTGACGGAAACGGCATCTGGACGTCACCTCGGTAGATAAAGAACGACGACATCTTTCCGTGGAACCCCAAGAACGGGCAATGACCAAGTTCGCAACACCTTGCATTCCGCACTACTACCTCCCCATCCTCTTTCTGCTGTGCCACACACTCCCCCACAGTCTCCGCAGCATCCACCTCACCTCGTCGGCCACCTTCCACCCACTTTCCCCGCCAACCCCGCCCTCTCCACAACCTCCTCGCCCCTCTTCCTCGCCTCGCGCCAGATACTCTCCTCATCCATCCCCACCAACACACCTCCCCTCACAACCTCCTTCCCATCCACAACCACCAACTCCACATCCCTCCCCGTGCACGTATACACCACCGCACTCACCGCACTAAACCACGGCTGCAACTCCACCCTCCTCGTATCCAACGCCACAAAATCCGCCTTCTTCCCAACCTCCAAGCTGCCAATCACGTTCTCCAGCCCCAACGCCCTCGCGCCGTTGATCGTCGCCATCTCGAGCACCGTCTCGGCCGGCACGAGCGTCGGGTCGGCGGCGTGGTGCGCCGACTCGGGTTTGTGCAGAATGGCAGCGAGGCGCATCTCCTGCAGCAGGTCGCACGTGTTGTTGCAGGGAGCGCCGTCGGTGCCGAGGCCGACGTTGGCGCCGGCGGCGAGCAGGTCGGGCACGCGGCAGAGGCCCGACGCGAGCTTCGCGTTGGACGACGGGCAGTGGGCGACGTGCGTGCCCGACGCGGCGACGGCGGCGACGTCGCTGTCGTCGAGGTGCACCATGTGCACGAGGACGGTGCGGGGCGAGAGCAGAGAGACGGAGTCACAGTAGGAGGTTGGCGTGTGGGCGGGCGTGCGCGAGGCGAAGAAGGCGCGGTCGGCGGCGACTTCGGCGCAGTGCATGGTGATGGGGATGGCGTGGCGCTGCGAGAGGGCGGCCATTTCGCGGTAGAGGTCGTCGCTGACGCTGTGGGAATGCTTAGCGGATGGGATGGGTCTTTGTGTAGAGCTACTACTCACCCTCCCGGCGTCCTTGCTCCGAACCAGACTTTGATCCTGCCGTTCGCCTTGCCGTCCCACTTCTCCCACATCTTCATCGTGCCCAGCAAGCTCGTCTCACGGTTCTCGATCAGGCCTGGATGCATGGCCCACTTAGGATCAGCGGCGTAGGTACCAACGTCCATGACGATCTTGCCCAGGCAGCCTCGGATGCCGCTCTCCTCGACAGCGCGACACAGGCCGTCGAAGCCGTAGCGGTCGGCGAACATGCTTTCCAGGAAACAGGTAGTACCCGACTTCAGCATCTCGGCGATACTGAGGCGGGCGGCGGCGTAGCCATCGTCGGCGGTGAAGTTTCCCTGCAAGACCCAAATGCGCTCGCAGAGCCACGATACAAGCTCAAGGTCGTCGGCAGCTCCTGAGTGCGGCGTAGTCAGATTGAATGTCCCTGAAGTTCATTTCCAAGCTCTTTTGCCGTTTGCATCTCAACCATGCGCAGGATGTAACTTTAGGGGGGAGTGGCGCATTTTGTTGAGAGATAAAAGAGGCAGCATGCAGAGGGGATGACAAAGGATGAGTAAGTACCTCTAAGAAGAGTTTGGGCGGTGTGCATGTGAGTGTTAATCAAGCCCGGAACGACGATCCGGCCAGTCAAATCCGTCCGGTCCTCGCCAGGGTACTTGCTAATCAGCACATCCGACTTGTCTATTTCGGCGATAGTATCGCCCCGCACGAGGATTGCCCCGTCAAGGATAACCTCACGCGCCGGATTGACGGTGATAAGGGTTGCATGCGCGTAGAGCATTTCGGAAGGCGATGTGAGCAGGCTGGCGTTCTGAAGGCGACATGATGGTGAGGGCGGGGCGAAGATATCTCCAAGTCGCGGCGGCCACCTCCGTTGCGATATCTACCGGCGCAAGCTTTGACAATAACGGTTGACTGAGGCTTGAGTGAGAGCACAGGCTCAGCGGCCGGAAGCGGCCCGAGAGAAGATCGCGGCCATCGACGTCAAGCGAGGGCGATTGTGGCGCTTCCAGCTGCGCTAGAGCAACGATAAAGAGCGTCGGGCCTCGCACTTGGCCGCGGGGAAGCGTGCGGGGACGGCGCGTCTTAAGCTGGTCAGCGCGTCGCAAAGCCGGCTGCAGCGTCGAGACGGTGGTGCGATGGTCTGAGACTGGGCCCCGTTTGCTGCGCTGTCGGAAAGCGCAAAATCGATGATGCAGAACTGGATGGGAGGCGGTGCGAGGGAGGGCGTGAGGTGCGGCTCGATGGGGATGGGATTGGCGGGCGTCACGCGCAGTGGCAGCTTCTAGCTCCCGAGTCACGGCGGTGAAAAGCCCGGGCGCACCTACCTACGTAATGCCAGCCAATTGCACTCGACACCACCGTTGCACCACCACGATCGATCTGCCCTCTACATATTCCTCCCTGCCGCCCGCTCCACCAGATCTTTTCTCTTCATTCTCGCTGCCTGCTAAGGCCAGCCCCACGCCATCGTCGCTCGAACTGCCGCCAGGCTGCAGCTTCCAAGCCACCAAACTCAACAAAAACAAGCTTCTAACAGCTGTCAACCCCTTCGATCATGACCCGGAGGATCGTCTACGGCATTGGCCTGTGGCTCACGCTGGCCGGTACGCGTCCACTGATGCCTACCAGTACCGCTCCTGCTGACAGCAAGTCGCAGCCACCGCCATGACCATTGCTAGCATCGTCGAGCCGCGCTGGCTCGCCTACGACGTCGAAGGCGTAAGTTTGAGACTTGTCCCAACGCCTCAGGCAACCATGCTTACAACCCTTTCTCTCTAGCACGGCAAGCATGGCAAGCCCGTCAAGGTGACATACGGCTTGCACACGCTCTGCGACTCGGTCACCGGCTCGTGTCGCAGCTTCCCCGAGGAGGACGACTGCCGCGGCGACTCGTGGTCCTTCTGCAGCCGCTGGCGCACCGTCGGCTTCCTCATGTCCTTCGCCGTTGTCATCGAGCTCGCCGTGCTCATCGGATACGCCGTCGTTTTGCTCGGTGGCAAGCAGAAGCGCGATCAGGGCTGGAAGATGATTTCGGGCCTACTCATGGTCGCTGGCGCAGTCTCCTGCGCATCCATGGCCATCGTGGTACGTGCTCACCCGCATATGCGCCTGGGAATGGAAAGAGATTTTCCTCCGTGGGGTGATGTCGTTTGTGCGTTGCGCTAACAGGGGCCACTTGACAGGCCTTCCTCTTTGACCACGACGACCGCTTCTTCCCGCCGGGCTGGCGCCTCGACAGCTCGTGGATCCTCTGCACCGTCAGCTGGTCCATCTCCATCATGACGGCCTGCGGCCTCGTCGGCGCTGCCATCGTCCTCCCCGAAGAGGGCGACTACGAGTTGATACCCGAGGGTAGGATGTAAACCTTTCCCTGCGCGCGTTTCAATAGACAATGGGACGGAGTGGTTGGTTTCGTGGAGCGCGAACTGGGCTGGATTCCACGCTCGCGGGCTCTGCTGCTTAAGCGCGCATCGTTTTACGCTTGCACGTCCGCTTTTCTTGCTGCCGATAATGTTTCTACACGTCTTCCCCCGGCATGCTCGCACTTTTATGTTCTACTCGACATATCCCCTGAAGCATCGTTATTGGTCTGCTTTTGGTCACTTGCAGCACGTCGGTTGTCGTCATTTTACTGCTGTTGTTCGGTCCATTCATTACCCGGGAAATCAGAAATTAACGAAAAAGACGTCATAACAGCGATCGTCAACGCTACGTCATCCAAAACAACCAACTATCATCTTTCAAAGCTGTTTGCTCACGCTACGTATTTGCTCCGTTACTGTGTAGTGCTTTCGTCTAGCTACCCCATCCGTGCTTTTTCCTCTCCTGGCCCAAGCGCAAAGCTCTGACCCGAAACGACAAAATTTTCCTTCTCACTCCACCACCGGAGCTAACTTTTCCTTCCAACGTCTGATTCTGATGTTACACAATATAACTCCAGCTGCTGATTTGCATACCAACAATCAGCAGTTACAGCCGTAGCAACTGATCCAGAGGTCGCTTAGCTCAGTTGGTTAGAGCGTGGTGCTAATATTGGCAGTCCTCCCAGAGGACTAAGAGTTAACGCCAAGGTCGCGAGTTCGACCCTCGTAGTGACCAGAATCTCCTCTTCTTTTGCCTCCTAGTCGTCTAGGAGGTCTATCTTTTTTGACTTGGGGTTGGGGGACTGGGCGGGGAACCAAACGTTCAAGACAAGACGGGCGAAACCCTGGTTTCCTGCTTTTTGTCCTGGAGGAATTCAGGATTGATAATTCTCTGGTGGTCCGCTTGGGCTTACTAGATAAGTTCTGACTGAGTGAGTATTGTTGTGTGAGCATCGGGTTGAAGCCGGTTGCTCGATATATATACCTACGTTTGGGTATCACGCACAACGATGTCCTGCTGGTTATTCATGGAGTAATTTTCTTCATGTTGCTGGTACGGTCTCGTAACTCTGCCTCTGTGGCATGGACCTTGGATATTTGCTATACTACGTGCAAGTTAAAGTTCTACATGCATATACGTATAACAATTTCATTGGCGCGCAAGTTCTGTACCACCCACCAATCATTTACTCCTGCGGCCCATCAGTGTTCCGTTCCGTAGTAAAATCATGTCTCCAATGAGCCAATAATATCAACAGCTTTATAGACACACTTTCACCATCACACGTAATCTCCAAGATCCCGACCTTCATATTGAAGCGGTCAGAGGATCAGCCGCCGCCCATCATATACAGTAACGGGACGAATAGGGCTCCGCTGTGAGAAAGAGCCGCTCTCTCGGCCCCCACTCAGCAAGCCCGCCATGTGCTCCCAAGCTAACCCATAACAGGCCGAGCGGCTTGCTGCGCGTCGGCTTACTCTTGCATCGCGACGCGCGCGAGGCTGAAATCAAGGATAAATTTCCAAGGTTTGGCCCCCTCCCATTACGCACGCCTCTTTCTCTCCTTCCCCTGCACTTTTCTTTTGGGATCATGTCTCGTACGACCATCCATTACCGCTACCCGGTACCCCCGCAATTGCAACCGCCTGCACGCCCGCACGTTGCAAAACCAAACACCGGGGATCTCTCGTTCTACCATCTCAAGCACACGCTTGGCAGCGCCAAGTGGGGCGATTATCAGATTTTCGGAGGAATTGGCGATGAGGGCACGCTGACGCCGATCGTCGAAGATCATCATTGGGCGACGAGCAATGGGAGATCATCGTCGTCGCGGCGATCGTACAACTCTATTCCGATAGGATCGGAGACGCCATTTCATGATGTGGTGGATAGAGCGCTGGTGTAAGATAGCTCTCCCCGTATTTTCGCGATGTGTGCGTGTGTGCTTGTTCAAGATGCTGATGGTCGAAACTATTGTGGAAGAGTATACCAACTGCCACGCGAGTTCCACGAAAGGCAGCGGGAGGCGCTGAAGAAAGGCAGCCGCAGGCCGTTGGCTCGGCTAGAGGCCGATACGCAGGTTCGGCATATCTTGCTCAAGAACATGGAGGCGCTGCCGATGAGCTTCAACGGGAGGGATGACAACCCGTGGGAATTCAGCGACATCGTGTTTCACGTGCCGTTCTATCAGGAGGTCAGGCCGGCAGGCCACGCGGCGCATGGAGATGGAGACGAGTTTTGCTGCTTTGGGCACGATTCTGGGAAAGCGCCTACTACGCTTTGGGGGAGGATCTTTGGATCGCAAGGAAAGAAAGAAGGAAAGACTGCCGGTGTCTGTTTTGCACGGGAAGCTGTTACGGTAAGATTGTTTGCGTCGTCATTGGTAGACGTGCTGATGGCAGTCAGATATGTGTGTTCAACCACGATGAATATGAGAAACAGCACTGGCAGCATAAGAGAGCCATGAGCCTCAGCAGCAACTGGACAGCGCTAGTCGTCGATCCTCGAGACATCTTCAAGTTTACTGATGACAAGCATAGTCAGAGGTTTGTGGATGGCATCTTGCCACCGAGCGCAAGGAATTCCAACAGAGAGGCTAAGCACCAATGGACCGACTATCAAAACGCCGACTTCTTCCAAACGCGGTTGATTCAGATTGCGCTGAAACATATCACTGACGAATGGCAAGAGTCGATCGTATCGATTGACGACGTCTGCAACAATTTTGAAAAGAACACTCGCAAGCGCATGGAAGACCCATCATACTGGCGCGGCGAAGTCAACGGTACGCTTATACAAGCGCACAAAATTTCAAGAGGTCTGGAAATCCTTCAGCAATCAATCAGAAATATCATTGAAGACAAAGAGAACCAAGACATGGATTACGGGGTCTGGAGGAGGTTCCGCAACGCCAGGCCAAGACGAAGAATGGGGGATTTGGAGAATTTGCAGAAAGCGTCGAAAGAAGAGGTGCCGCCCAAACCGCTTGGTATAGGCGAAGAGAAGAACAGGCTCAAACATATCCTCTGGGACATCTGTGATATCTATCAGCAGAGACTTTTCTCGGTGCAAGCGAGACTGCGAGCGAGGAGAGAGGCCGTCGATAGCCTGAGAGGCTTGGTATGATTCTATTGTTCGTAGGGATTGCTTGAGCTGACGTTCTCCCAGGTTATCGACCTTTCACAAACCAGGGCATCCCTGTACGCGAACCAACTGGGGGACAATGTAAAATGGCTTACTTACTTCTCCATAATCTTCTTGCCCCTAAGTTTCTGCACGGCGCTTTGGTCAATGAACTATGACCTCCATTCCAAGCATGACTTCATTGTCGCGATCGCTCTCTCTTCTCTGGCAACCTTTCTCCTTTTGCTGTTCCTGCTGTTGAAACATTATAACGTGTCGGTCAACCATTCATAGCATGGCAGAAAATATCTATTCTAGCCCGTTCGCGAAAGTGTAGATACATTATGAAGACCATAGTGATCAAACGGGACCAACTAAATTGGGGCAAATGTGTCAAATATCAAGTCTACTAGCTAGCACTAGAATCAGTGCGGCTTTTCTACTCCAAAAGAAGAAAGAAAAAGAAAGAAAATAGCCGAAAATAGGTTCAGGACAAACCCAACAACGTACAAAATGCTCAAACCCCCAATATAGAAGGAACAGATCTGAAGAGATGTTGAATTGATTTTTCTTTTTCCCAGATGACGTTTGAAATTGGCATACCAGTATGAAATGTGCCTCAGCCTTCTTCCGCGAGGATGTCTGCTTGCTTCAGTTTGTGACCAGGGTGAACATTCCCCACATCCACCATGCACATGAAGCAGTAATCGATCAGCCTGTCACACGTGCTGCAAAAATACCGAGGCCCAAATATCCTCTACTGAAATCAGCAAACGCTCGAACTCGTAGTTAAAGAGGATTGACTTACAGACTCGCAAGAATCACAGTTGTATATATCGGAGGGTGTGCCTGGGAGAATCTTGGGAGATTCGTCTTGCATCCTCAGAGGGCAGTCTGCGTCGGAGAGCAGATTCTTGTTGTTGAAAAACGTTGCGATGTTCCACGGAGTCCAGGATGTCTGTTTCTCCGGGAAGTCCGTTGTAATGCAGCACTCTGGCAGACCTGCAGAGATAAGGAGTTGAATAAGCTGACAACTTCCTACCATGGCGGCCCAATGGAGGACTGGCCAACCCTTTTTCTCGTTCGTAATGGAGGATATGCGCGGAAGGCGAAGTACACATTCGACCATCTCGATGGAAGAGGACGCTGCAGCGTAGTGAAGGACGGTGCGGCTCCTAAAATCTCTTAATGAAGGGTCAAGTCCCGCCTCTAATAGAAATCTGAATGTGGACACATGACCACCCCGTGCAGCAAGATGAAGGGCGCTTCTTCCCTCACAATCAGGACCAAGCGAGGCTATTTTTTGTTCTCCGGCGAGGATCTCCAGTATCGGAATATGCCCTCCAGAGGCAGCCGCATGGAACGGACTATAATTGCTCCCACAGAGAGCATCAAAGTCCGCTTGTGATTGTAAAAGATTCCGAACGATTTCCTCTTTGCCGAATTTAGCAGCCAAGTAGAGCGGTGTCGTAGTTACCAAGCCACCAAACTTTGGGTCAGCTCCATTCTCCATAAGCAGGTCTACAAAACCTGCCAGCCCATTCACTGCTGCGTATTGAAGGGGGGATATTCCCAGGTCTGTTGTCATCGAAAACTGGAGTTTATCTCCATGCTCACATAAAGCCCGAGTTGCTGCATAGTTCTTCCTGGAGACCGCGATATGTAAGGGTGTAGCTTTTCCCTCTAATGTTTGGGCAAGTACGTTTGCACCGTGACGTAGTAGAAAGGGAATGAGCTCCTGATGATCATACAGGGCTGCAATGTGCAGTGGCGTCCAATTATCTGGCCATTCCGTCGTAGTATTTGCTCCATGCGTCGTTAGGTACTCGGCAATCTCAAGGCACCCATTTCCGATTGCAATTTGAAAAGGGGTATATCCATACGCTGTTTTTGCATGAATCTCTGCTCCGTGGTGAAGAAGTATTCGGGTCATATCCTCGTTATTCTTCTGGACTGCGTAGTGCAGAGGTGTATAACCAATGTTACTCTGAGTGTTGACATCTACACCGCGATCCAAGAGATATTCGACAATCTTGAGATGGTTGCCCTGTGCGGCGCTGCTGAGAGGTGTCTGTGAAGAATCATTAGTAGCATCATCCGGGACACTACCGTATTGTAGGAGGTATTGGACGACATCCAGGTGGCCATGATACGCTGCTGCATGCACTGGAAGATAACCTCCGTTTTTGCGAACCATAGGGTTTGCACCTTTATCGAGAAGAAACTTCACCATAGCTGATTTTCCAGCCCCGGAAGCGTTTGTAAGTGGTGAGCACCCCTGGTGATCAGGCGCATCGATATCGGCTCCAAGTTCAAGGAGAATCTTGGCAGGTTCAAGATGGCCGCGGGATGCAGCGTTGTCCAAGGGTGTTCTGTGTTGGGCATTAAGAGCCTTCAAATCCGCACCATGCCCCAAGAGAAGCTGCATGACTTCCACATGCCCATTCAAAGCTGCAGAATGAAGCGGAGTATCGCCATTTGAGCTGGGGTGATCCACATCGGCCCCGTAGTCTAGCAGTAGGTTAGCAACGGAGGTATGGCCATTGCAAGAGGCGAGATGAAGAGGCGTTGGGTCATTCTCTTGTATGTCGGCTGACCATTCAAGAAGAACTTTGACGACTTCGAAATTGCCGTAGTAGGCTGCAATATGCAAAGCCGTGTAACTGGTTCCAGCCTCTGGGAGATTCGGATCCACTCCCAAAGCAAGGAGAACTTCAACTACTTCAGATGACCCCCTCAATGAAGCTAAATGTAGGGCAGACTGATCTTTGTTGCTTAGCGCATGAGGATCAGCTCCGTATGCAAGCAACAAATGTAACATGTCCAGGTAGCCTTCCTGCGCTGCAATGAGCAAGGGGGTCGTCGTTTCGAATGATGTAGTCTCCAGTAACGACCCTGCTCCATTCTTCAGAAGATATTCTGCTGTTTTAAGTTGATTGTGGTGTACTGATGCACCAAATGGGGTCGTGCCTCGATTTGTCCGTAATAAGATCAGGTCCGTTGATTTGTCGAATATTTTCAAGACGAGATCGAGATTGCCATGTACACAAGCCCAAAATATTGGACTACTGTTGTCGTTGCATATTACCGCTGGATTTGCGCCTCGTTCGAGAAGGAATACGGCAATCTTTGTGTGGTTCCACCCACACGCTGTGAAAAATGCTGTTCTTCCCAAGGAGTCTCTGATCTCCATGTCCAAACCGCGGTCAACGAGAGAGGCAACTAGATTCATATGTCCATAGGTTGTTGCTGAGATGAGAGCGGGACCGCGATTGTTTATTTTGAACTCCACATCCGCGTTGTTGTCAATCAAAAGATTCACAAGATTCGTGTATCCCCTGGCACACGCCAGAATGAGTGGTGTTTCACAGTCTGGCTCTATTGTATCCAGCAACTCCGGGTGGGTCGACAGTAGGTGCTTTGCAGACTCTACCATATTCCGTCCTGTTGCGAACCAAAGCGGATTCCCTGGCTGTCCTTTTCTGTTCGCTTTTGCATCCGCTGAGATCTCGGTGTCGTTATCCAACAAGTAGTTTCTCATGCTTGAGAATATCGAACTTTCCGGGTCCAACAAGGAATTAATGAGCTCGAGCGTGTTTGAACTCTGTTGCATCGCAGCTTCGGAGTGTTTGTGCCACGTGTTTGCAGCATAGTCTAAAAAGGCATATGGGATCCTACTTTCATCGTGCTGAGATCCAGACTGCCACACTTGGCTAAAGTTCATATAGCGGAGGCATATCTCGGCAAGCTCGGCATGGTGGTTCTGTAACGTTTTGCCAAGCATCTTCAGAAGAAATTCTTTGATAGACGCGTGCGCGAGATGCACCATGCTCGAACCAGGATCCTCACGTGATACTTGAACATTGACGAGGGATCCGCACAAGCCTTTGATCTCTTCCTGAATGTATTCCTCGTCGACCTCGTCCGGCCACTCCTCTTGAGAAAGCCCGGATGATTCAGGATGCACCATCAAAGCCTCCATGATTTCCACCACGGTAAGTGGACGAAAGGAGAACGCAGCCCATCGTAAGATATTGACTGTTCTGATGTAGTCTTCCTCTGCTTGATTTGTAATCTCTCTCCAGACTCTCATATATGTGTCCGTAAGTCCAGATGGCATCTTGTTCACGATTTGCCGTAGTTGAGAATCGGTTTTACTTCCCCGCAGCAGGAGCAAATTTTGTTGTTTGATCCAGAGGAACATGCCATCACTTTTGTCCGTCAATCTGTCGGAGAGCTCATGTTTCAGTCCTTCCGTCTTTCTCGGCAACCTTTCGAAAACCAAAGCTTCAGCCAATTGTCGGATGTCAGCCCGAACAATACCTTTAGAGATCTTGCACATATGCGTATCGAACAGCTCGTCCCGAATGTCGCCTTCGTCGCGACTTGCGACCATGACCTTGGTCGAGGTGTTGTGGATAGTTGACTTGATACGACGAAGAAATTTCGATCGAGCTAGGTTGGATCCATCGAACTCATCTAGCCCATCAATGACAAGAGTGCATCCTGAAGTTCGTTCAAGAAGCGCCTTCAAAATGGTCCAAAGGTCACTCTGGGATGCCACATCACCTCTGTCGCAGGTGGAGGAGTGCATATACTCCCAAATTTGCTCCCGCATCTGGAGACTCTGACCTGAAAGTTGCGATATAAAAGTCCGTAAAATTCCTTGGAGTTGGGTTGCTGCCTGCGCGTATACCGAGCAAAAGCAGTATACGACCGGGGGACCTTGGGGAGAGTTGGTCCTCAGATGCTGGATGACAGTGGCCGATAGAACCGTTTTACCTGAACCTGCAGGTCCACACAGCCAAAGAAGCTTTGGATCTCCTACTTCAGAAAGCCAGGATTGGTACGCAGGATGGCTGAAAATCCAGTCTCCTGTTCCTTCGAGTCTTGCATCTCTGTGAGTTTCGAATTGCTGATCGACTAATCCGGCTTGGATCCACTCGTTGATAGCCTGTCTTTGAATGCGAGTAAACTCCTTGGATATCTGGGATTGTATGGCCTTCAACTCATCTTCAATGCACAAGGGGATAAATTAGCATTGATTCAACGGACGCTTACATCGTAAAGTGTGAAGACAGTACCTAATATCCTGGAGTGCTCTCTATCTTCCCCTAATTTCGGTGTAAAGAGTTGGTACAGCTTTTCGACGTGCTTGTCAAATTTCTGCAAATCGTCCAAGATAGTCTTGTCATGCCCGAATCCCCATTTCATTCCAGACCTTGACGGGAACGGTAAGCGTGATCTTGTCGCAGTAGGATTGGCAGCTTCTGGTGAAAGCCTTGCAAGAGCCTTCTCAATCTTGGCACTGAGCTGCTTGGCCGTTCGGAGATGACCGTGGACATTTGATAGCACATCTGGATCGTCAAGAGTTGGATCGTGATTGTCTGCGAGCTCTCCATCTTTTATGCCAGCCTTCTCTTCCCAGATTTGGAGACGCGTCAAGTTGGACTTGAGCAGTATCCGAGCTTGGCTAGCTTCCGTTTGGAATGATTTGGCGGCCTGGAAGCGATGTTTGAGCTCGATCCCATCGTTGATGAAGCCTGGGAAGGCTACGGCAAGAGAGACGGCTTCCATAGGCGTGTAGAGCTATCGCGAAGCGTTGAAATCAGAGCATGTCCGGTGCGACGGAATTATGGAAAAAATGGGAGTGGCGAAGTCATTTGACAAGGCTGAGGAGGGGTAGACGAGAGCCAATCGATTCGCATTTCTTTCTAGCGAGCGGGGTCAGCCTCGACCTTTCGTTAGGCTGCGTGCTCGCGGTATTCGATGTGGTACTATTAAACGTGCAGCGCGAACAAGTCTAAATTTTCCTGCGGAATGAATTTCTATGGTATAGTGTTTTTCTATCTCCAGGCCAGTTCTCTATTGTCAATCGCGACTTTCTGTTTGCATCATCATTCTACGGGTCCTATTGCGTGGCTTTCAATCAAGGCAGGGTCCAAAGAGAAAGCCAGCCTTGTAGCCTAAAATTTAACAAGGATGTTGCACCATTGCCGCGAGGCTGAGCAGACATAACCTGCAAGCTACAAGTGGGTACTGCTGTGCTGGCATGGGGCAGTGCTGCGAAAAGTGAGCCGAGCGTTGCATTAGACTGGGGGCTGGAATACACTACCCTGTTCCAGTTCATGGTTAGCGTCAAGAATGACAGTCTCAAAACAGGGGATACAGATAATCTGAATGGGCGATCATCTAAAGTCTGCTCTTTTGCGCAGCCGACAGCTGTCTGTTACACAAAAACCAAGTTTACGATACGAACCCACCACAGCAAGGAGGGTAGGCGGCTGGTTGGATGTAAAATAAGCGCCCACTCGGACTCTCATTCTTATCGGAAATGATCTTCAACTTCCCCTCATCTCCTCCATGCTCAAATAGCTCTCTCAGCTTATCTGTGCCATATGCGAGGCTTGCTATCCACCAAACTTGGTCGTCCTTCATCTCTTTCGTACTGTCTCGATACATCATCTCTCCTATGTCGTCGGTCGGAAAGTTCACGAACTCTGTCTTTCATCTTGCACAAGAGAATCAGGCCTCACTAATCAACGTAAACCTCGATTTCTCCCTGCTGAAGTTCGATGCGCCACCCGAATTCCGCAGGCTGGGCGAGTGCCTGTCACGAAAGAGGAGAGATGAAGCCGAAGCTGGCGTCTACCACAGCACAGCGAGGAAGCTAGGCGCGCTCTTCTCATCTGAGATTCCCCACGTGCCCGCTCTTATCGAAGCCTACGGTAAGCGAGCAAGTGAGATTGCGGAGACGCCGGGGGCCAATCCTGTTGGTTCCACGATTCATGGAGCGTTTGCCGAGCACGTCGGCGCAGATGGAACTACAATCTGGGCAACAGCAACGTCGGGGAAGAGTGTTGTCACGATTCATCTTCTTGCATGCATTCTGGCACGCATCTGGCAAAGGGAGCAGGCGGTTTCAATATGGGATCAGCTTGTCCAGCGAAGAAAAGCAGAGCTGGCTCAAAGAATCTCGACGGTCGAGACTGTGCACGCTTCAGACTTGGGTGCGTCGCTCATCACGATTGAAAGAAAGCAACTCGACGCATGGGATGCTAGCGCAAGGTAAGAACTGTAATCTGGGCATTGGATAGAGTCAGAAACTTACAGGACGATAGAGCTTGGCTGCAGACTGCAGATACCGCAAAAGAAAGGGAGCAAAGCCAGATTAGATGGGTTCTGAGCAACATGTCGCTGCCAGTCTCAATCGACAAGCCCGAAACGGAGGACGAGATGTACGCTTCGGTACTGAGCGTATGGGTCCGTGCAATGTCTGTCATGAATGACCTGATTCTTGGTCGGCCACAAAGAATCCAAAGCGGCGATGTACTTCTCGGACTCCTCTCCTGGCATTTGTACCCGGATATTGCCGTCCTTGGTGTTGACGACAAGTTGCATCATATCAGCCAACGGGATGAATTCGTACTCGAGGGGGGGATCGTAACCATTGGCATGCAAGCCAGAGGTAGCGGGCCGGATGCCGACGATGGAATATTCTGGTCTCTTCCTCTGGCGCATATGCGTTATTACGGCAACCCTGTTACTGTCAAGCGGCGCCTGGGAACCAAAGAATCGGATGTTTCCTTTCCAGAATTCCGTTACGTTATCTTCGGGAGTATAATATCTACTTGGGATACGCCGGAAGATGATCTGGAAACCCCCATGCGAATTATTCTCCTTCTTGCAGGCGCCTTGGATGCTCATCCAGAAAGACCCCACTGGGACCAGAAAAAAACCTCACTCAATTGGCTAAAGTCGTTGGCACTCTGCTGCAAAGACTTTGAGCAATCCAATGATCTCGAAAGGAAGCGGAGAAAAGCGCTGGTTGAGTATGGGAAACGCCGATGCGGCGATTTTCTGGCCCCTCAGACATCGCATCCTCTCCCCGTTTTTGACCTAACCCACATGGGTTTCCTTGTCGACACTGCGACATCAAAGTCAGACCAGCCCACACAAAGCAGGATCGAGTTTCTCCGAAGATACGCGCGGATATCTTCCCGCAGACACGAGCTGAGAGATGCAGTGATCCGTTACAGACCTGAGAGCAAGCCACGTGAAACATATCACAGTATGCCGGAATACCTTTGCACTTCGGTCTTTAGACCACGGTCTGAGCAGGAGGTCACAAGTAAGAAACGCAAGCGATCAGAACACGGACGCCAACAACACTACCAGTGGAATTCTGGCACGCGAATTGATGATGTGGATGAACCACGATACTACAGCAACAACAGTCTGTCCGACATACCAGGCTTCAGACCAGTCCCGGGGCTTCAAGAGCAAGGCGTCACGTCATTTCCCTCCGGGCCTGGCAAAGTAAATACAAAATACAGATTTATCTGCGGTGACGAACAGCGAGCTGCTTTGTTCATCCCTCAAGGTCTATCTGCCGCTCCTAGGTTCACAACGAATGCTATGAGTGTAGTGGAGCTACTACGATGTCTTGAGAAAGGATATATTAGCCCCTTCCCGCTTCTAGAGAAGCTGCTCTATTTTGTGCAGTTCCCAGGCCACCACAGTGAATATTTCAAGTCTCTTGAAATTCTCTACCGCGTTGAAGAGATCTATTCCGGATTGGACGGAGCCACCGTCAACTTGGAGCTGACTTCCAATCCTATATCTCAATCGCACTGTGCAGAGTTGTTCCGCAAGGAAAGGGAGGAAGGGCAATCATTCTCACCGCTTGCACTTGAGTTAAGTTGCATTGCTTACTTCCAAACCGGAAACTACTCGTTGGACCCACTCAAACTGAACACGGTTCTGGCAATGTCGTACAAAAATTCCATATTTGTTGCGAGTCAGCTTCTCGAGGATCCACTCACGGCAATCTCGTCTAACCACGTGAGAAGACTGACGGGAAATGTCGGAAGACCCGGCATTGCGCTCCTCTTCCCGCCGGAGAACCCACGTACTCTGGCCAGAGATTCAAGTCTGTGGAACATCGAACATGAGCAATTCGACGGTGAGCTTTTGGATAGCTTCTCCGCTACCTCATTACACCTATCGTTCACGGGCTACGAGATCCCTATCAATGTCGGCCCTCATGGAGGCCGGGAAGCTGAGGTAACCCTGACGGAGATCGCAATATCCGTTTTTGACCGTGGAAGATGGATTGGAGATCTCGACATTTCCAGAGCAGAGAAGCAATGGATCAAAAACGCGTCATGCGACCACTCCCCAGAAGAGAGAAACAACAGATCTCACCTGCCAGATAACATGCGCTCAATCGACAGCTGGGATGCTTTTCTAGACGCGCCTGCTGGTGTTGGAGTTCTGCGCGCGCATGGAAATCCTATGGCCAGGCTGGCGGCAGCTACCCTGGCAGCTCAGAAATCCTACTCATACCATGTCTTGCCATCAAATGGCTGCTGGGCATGCGTTGATCCAATGATCTTTCCACGAGTACCGCTGTACTCTGGAGCCGGTGGGACGCAGACTTACGACGATTCTACTTCAAGCTCAGCTGGCTCAATGAGTGATGATGATGAGTCAGATGGCAGCATTTCGAACGAATTTTTCTCCGACGAGGATTCCGAATCAGAAGTACAGGTCCCGCCTGACGGCTTTGAGGACATGAGTATACCTACTAGTGGGCTCAATCATACGGAGAACCCTTACGTTGAGCCACTTTTTCCTACGTCTACCAGTGGGCTGAATGACACGCATGATTCTGCCATTACAAATCTCTTTCCCGCCTTTCAGCATCTAGAGCAGACATTCTCGCCACCGAGTTATGGACGATTTCAGACTGATGTTATTTTTATTTGTTGAGTCATACTATATGCCATATCTTGTATAGCTTTTGACATACTATGTAGGGGATTCCATGGTGTTCGCTTTTTCAATCTGTTGTTTATTACTCAGCTTGCTGCTTCACAGCGGTCAGTCATCTAGCATCGGGTATTTTCCACCAATCACCCTGTAGATTCCTTCATTTAAACTACATGCATTTAGAAAAACAGTGGTTTTACAGCAAAGAGATATAAAAGTTTTCGGAGTATTAGTGAACATAGCAAATGAGATGATTGATAAAGGCTGGGATAGTATGAATGCTAGAGCCCTTTAATTTCAATATCATAGGTTAAAATAGAACAGAAGGGAATGGATTGCTTAATTTAGCGAAGTTTAATTGCCTTTATCGTCGGTCTGGCGTCCTGCCACGGAAGGGAACCAATTTGCGCAACACCAATTCTTTCTGCTACTTCTCCATGCCACCTGATGACAAGACAGTTCACAAAGGGAAGTTCCTTCAGATCTTTGCAGCTGTCGTTGTAATGATAGAATGGAATAGGGAAATCTCCTTTCTCATCCAGATATGGCATGAAAGACGACAGTGCAACGAGTTCCAAGTCTGTCCCGTTTTGCATTTCTTCCAGTTCCACGCCCCACAAGAGTCCTCGGCCCTTTCCATCATCCATGTCATCTGGAACCCGTGGAGCCTTATCATCATACGTAAGAACCCTGTATAAGTATGACTTAGCCCCACCAATTTGCTTTTCGTCCCCTTTGGTACACCTGGGATCGGCAGGTACAACTTCCAAAGCGGTCCGAACCAAATGGTATTTGACAGGACGGTAATTGAATGAAGTGACTTTTACCGACTCTGCGGTAAACTGAAGCAGCCCCAAAGATGCGTAGAGGATCGGACGCCCAGCTCGTGCAATTTGCTCGTACAGACGAATCACAACTTCGTTTGTTTTTTCTGTTTCGACGATGATCATTTTGGAAATAGGAACAAGCTCTTCAAAATGGTATTTCCCTCGTTCGCTCCCCTGGAATCCGAGAGCACGGATTGGGAATTCCCATTCCACTGCTGTTTTCCAGCCCACCCAGGACCAGGAAGGAAACACGGGCTGGGTGCGTCGGTCGGAAGAAATCTGGGATGTTGTGCGTCTTGATGCTGATGGAGTGCAGGGTATCCAGAGTAACGCCATGCCGATCGTAGCCAGAGGCATTCCAAATACAAATTTGGTTCCGTGGTCGTCCTCCATGGCATCCTGTAGAGCTCTGAAGGCGTTCAAAATGTCGGAATCGTAGGAAAGTTGTCTCTTTGAGTATTTCAAGACAATTTTGGCGTAGACCAGAAATTTCAAACAGGAATCGGTCTCACCAGGAGTGAGAAAAGGCGACGCGTGGTTATTCCGCCTGGTAAAGAGATCTTGTTCTCTTTTCCGCTGCGTTTCGTGATCGCAGTAGAAGAGCAACGGACTCCCTGGGTATATCGACGAAGTGGTTAACGTCTTGTAGTCAGGCTCCTCGATCAGCTCGGAAGAAGATCGAAAGGCGACTAGGTTGTCCGTGAATATTAAGCATCGTGAAGATAGCATAAACTCCTGCATGGTCCATCCACGAGAGTTGTAAACGGTTGTGTCAATAAAGCCAGAGATGGAAAGAGAGCAACTCTTCAAGTTTCTTCCATTGACTGTTTCCGACGTGGTGGGAGCCCTGGTCCCTCTCCGAAATCCAGGTAGTGAAGAATGTGCACTCTTTGCGGAGGCGGCGACTATTGTGAGATATGCTCGGGAAAATATTAAATGCATGTTTCGAATGCCGGCGTACTTGGATTCGGAGTCGTCTTGCACCAAGCAAAGAGCATCTACCCATAGGTAATCCTCTCCGATAGCTTTCACAAGCTCGATTGAATCATCAATAAGTGTTGGAACCCCCGCTAGCCGCGAAAGAGATCCATCTTGGGACAAATGCGACAAATTGCTTTTCGTTGTTCGCAAGAATTCTGCCCCCTTTCCCCAAACATAGCTCAAAACAGTGTATCGGCAATTCGTGTCGGCCTCCACAAGACAGCGACGTCGTACGTCGACAAGCCTCAATTTGAAAGATTGGTGTACTTTCCCGTCAGCTTCGCGAGGTTTGTCCTCAGTTGTATCGCACTGTTGTAGCAGTGCCTTGACTCGAGGGATAGACACGACGTCTGCGTACTCGCCCTCAGTTGGCGGTTCCACTCCAGTTTGGAATATTCTCTCGTTCAGTTTGAAATGGATAGTCGTGTAGCCAGTTGTGATTACTGAAAACTCTGTTTCTCTGAGAGGGTATAGTGTGAACTCTGCGATATTTGCGTATTCGAAATTCTCCTCTCGAGGCGACATAGCAATGAGCTTGAGTATAAACTGGCAGTAAGGACAATTGACCCTGGCTGATATTTTTGCAATAGTGCCGTATGATATGCCATCAACGAGATGATCGCCGGTCTTCATGCTTGAGACCAGTCTTCCATATTTGGTGAATGAATCCGTCAGTCTGGGTAATTGAAGACAAAAGCGCTGGAGCTTATTGTTGCTTAAACGAGCCGAAAAATATATCCGGCATCTCAAGCACAGCTTGCTCCCCTTTTTTCTTCGGGTTTGGGGGCCAAGAAAGATTTTGCCGAGGTCCATTTCCATTGTTCTGATTGCAATGTGAGTTGATTGGAAATAATTGGAGCTACTATCGTGCTTACATTATTGACCAGGGACAGTTGCCTAAATGAGGGCGTCTCATAGAGTTGCTGACAAAGTTGCTCCAAAGATAAGTTGGCGTGAGGTTCTTTGTGCGGCCCCTCGATATGGCGGTAAGGGAAACAAGCGTATCCTCGAGCAAAGTTGAAGCAGTATTATGGAAGACCACAAACTTGAAGATTTGTACAGAGTTATAGATTGCGACCTGAAATTTGAGGGATAATTATTGCAGATTTCGATGGGGGGACATGGCGCTTCTTGAATCACCCATGCTGAGTCAGATTTCCGCCTGATGACGATGCTACCTCGTATGGTGCGGGGCCTGTGGGGGCTGAAAATCAACCAACACTTTTCGCCCCTGACTACGTACATAGTGGAACATCTTCCCTTAGTTTGATATTGACATAGCATTCTGATGAATGTAGTGAAAGATCCGCTATGGTTGTATAGCACAATGCGAACTCTGTGGTAACTTCGTGTTTGAAACGCTCCGGTCGAGGCAACAAGACGATGACCCTGAGTATGAATTGGCGGTAGTATATTCCAAGAACTATTGATAACGAGAATCAAAGTAACTTCTACAAGCATCGAGTAGGTCTACAAGGCGAACTACTTCTTCTCCTCCTCCTCCTGCTTCTCGACAAAAGATTCAACGAAGCCCAAAGCAACCTCTGCAGCTGTGTACGACAGGTTTTTCCCAGCCTTTGGGTGATCAACGGTCTCCTTCTTCTTCGGGTCATCCCTCTGCCGCATAGGCATCTCCTTCGGTAGCGGACTGAAGGGCGAACACGGGTCGTTAGTGGCGAGCAAGTCCATGGCCATTTTGTAGGCAGGGAAATCTTGATCCTGCCAATGGAGCGACTGCAGCATCTGGAAGACGGCGCGTACAGAGGACTCGAGAGCACCGACAATCCACGCATGATGCGCAGACGCGGCCTCGCCGATGAGGTACAGCCAACCATTCGGACGGATGATCTCGGGCCACATGTTGCTGAATTGGCCGGGGCCGAAGAACGCGAATGCACCTTGTGCATGTGGATCTTGGTACCAGTCGAAGGCGTGGTGGCACTCGTATGACTTCTCAAGCATCTCGCGCACGCCTTTGTAGTCCTGGGGGTCTTTGGCGTGCAGCAGCGCGAGGTTGTGCATCAACACCTCGTGGAGTTCCTCCTCGGCCGCGGGGGAAGAGCGTGAGATGAGAGATCCGAGTCTCTGCGCATCTTGGCTCCAGGTATACGAGCACAGCAGGACAGCTGATTTATCCCGCGGGCTATCGAGGTTGTAGGAAGGGTAGACACAGACGCGGATGGGAAGATCGGTCTTTCCTAGGCCGCCCTTTTTGATGTTGTAGGGAGGGTACTCCCACCACGCCGACTTGAACTTTATGGCAACCTTACAGGCGGCTCCATAGCACAAGGAGCGGATTGCCTGCTTGGTTCCATAACGCAGGCCAGCTTCGGTGAGGTCCATGCGCTGCATGGCGCCGAGCGTGGTTGAGTTGAAGACAGCAAAGTAATCACGGTGTTCTGTCTGTGGGGGACTTTCTGTCCGTGTGGGATCAATGTGTTTGATTTTGAGACCCATAGTGCCGTCTGGGGCAGTCTTGATGGCGGTCACTTGACGGTTGAACTCGGGCTTTCTTTTCAGTCGATTCGCCATTTCACTTGCAACTTGCTGTACTCCGCCGTTGACACAGAACCAGGGGGCGCCGGCATCGAAGTCAAGTGATTCGAGAACTGTCTCTGTGAGAGCCTGGTCATACCAGCCCGTTCCGCTTAAAACAGGGTTAGCGAGGGTCATCATTGACGTAATAGGCTGCCTTACGCGTCGAATGTCTCCAACCATTCAATCGTGTTGAAGTTGAACCCCGGCCGTGCGTCCCTGTGTCTATAAAGACAGTGAGCGACCATTACCGATACTATGTTACTTGAGGACATACGAGCGGAGGTATTGACGAGTACTCATGTAATCTGCTTTCTTCAGAGGAATCCAGTCATCCTTTCCTTCGGAACCATTGGCGATTGAACGTTTCCCGTCCTTTGCGGCATCGAGATGTTCCTTGACCTGGTCCCTGTAGCGTTGGATTGCTTTATTTAGCACTTCGCCGGGAGGTTGCTTGAGGAGGCTGCTTGTTGTTAGCAAAAAATTCAATACCCGCATTCGATCAGCCTATCCTTACTCTTGCGGGATCTGATCATCTTTTGCAAGCCCTTCGTTCATTTTGTATATGCTTCCATCCTTCGGTGTTCCAACTGTGTGAACATCGTTGAAGTAGGTCGGGCACACATTCAATTCATCCTTGAAATAGTATGGAATGAGCCGGTTGTTCGTTGTCTTGATGTTAAGCAAATCGAATAACTGAAATGTCCTAAGATTTTTCAATATTAGCGAGCTGTTCATCGAGACATTTAGCATCGGACATACCTTTCCATGATGGAGATTTTGGGAAACCGCATGGCCCCAACATCGTAGTAATCCTTTTCGTTTCCAGAGAACTTGTAGGTATAGAGCCGCCCACCAAGCCGTTGATCACAAGCGGCCTCGAGGATATCGTACTCGATGTTGAGGTCCGGGATCTTCTCATTGATGTGATCCAGGATCATGGCTGTGAAAAGCCCCGCACATCCCGCGCCAACAATGCCGACCTTGAACTTCCCTGGGGGCTTCGGAGGTTGACCGGTGAGTTTTTTGATTGGAAGGACATCGCTGACTAGCCCTGTGAGATTGTCGGGAAGGGGGAGGTCTGGGGTGATTCCAGGTGGTTGAAGGGTTTCAAGCTTTCTGGTGACATTTTCAAAATCATCAACCAGCTTGTCCCGCGCAACCTGTCGAGCCCACTGATACTTGTACGAGGGATTCTCTTCAAGCGTCTCGGTGCGACTACCCATTTTTCGTGCAGTGATATTTTTGACTGGGGTAGAGATGGGCGAAGAGCAAGATTTCTGAGTTGAGGCGGTTCTATATATATTCACCGTGGTCATAAAATCCATTTATTCATTGACCAATATTCACAAGCTATACTGAATAGCGTCTTACAGGAATGTACATTTGCTGGATAATGATTGTGCATTGATTGGCTCTACTTGGAAGGGCAATCTTGGCAGCCGTTTGCGGTGACGAACCGCATCGCCGGATAAGCCAGGGTAGGCGATGCAGTCCCGACCCCACTAGTCAGGTCACTAAGCTGCCAAGGGATTAACAAAGGAGCAAGTCGAAAACAGCCAACCCCTATGTTCCACCAAAGAGAATTGCTTGCATTTGCATTCATCGTGACCAGAGCGTTTCGATGACCATCGCGTAGTATTGACACAACACCTTGTTCTTGTGACACCTGGAGTTATTTGGCGGCTTCAAAGGGCGACTACTCTGCAAAGAAGATATCCTTTTCACTTTCAAGTATGCGCGACTTTTTTGAAACACAAAAAACGAATTTTCTAACACGTCAGTGACTGCAGAAAGTTCAAAACACAGGATAAAACATGCAGCTGGCATAAGCTGACTGGTCGTAGAGAAACCGGCACGAATGCGTCTGGGCCCAAATCAAGACCAGTTTGGTGACAAGCGTAGCTAATGTAGCATCGTATGAGGGTCATTTGATCTTCGTAGAGACACATGATGGCTGGTGAAGCAATATATACTGGCGCGATAATTTCCACGGGTAAAAGAACAGCAAGGAGAACAAGTGTAGTTCCGTGGTCATCAGAAATAAATAGGCTAGACGAGTCATGCAAGGCTAGCGGGCACCAAAACATCTGCCTCCATGGTCACCAATATACTGTTAGCTTCCATGGACCCCTATGTTCTCTACTATTGGCTCTATTAATAGAAAATTCACAATTGCAAGACGAAGTTTGTCTATGACTGGTAGGCACCAAATTACCAAAAATGCAACAGAAAGAACGGATCTGCCAATACTTTCGGGACTGGGGTGAATGAAATGGAACTGGCTGGTTGCAAAGGAAAGCTGAAGTTTGCTTGTTGCGATACCATATTGTGGAAAAGGGCGGTGATGGAACAGCGGTGCAGCCTGAAATATGGGTAATTATTTTTCAGCTGGCAAGCAGGCCAATCCGTGTCTACCTGCATGCGGCTTCGGTCAAGTCCATAGCTGAAAGCTGAGCGACGTCGTGTGTAAAGTCATACCAAGTGTATAACGATGCAACATTCAGATTACATAAGACGACTATCCGGCATTGTGTTGAGCCGATGGATATTTTCTTTTCCGGCGTTCTGCCCCGCATTACGCATCCCACCTCCGATTGCCGCTTTGCCCCGCCATTGACGTGATTGCTAATAGAGTGGCACTTTTCTATCTTAACTTCAGCGCTTTTCCTAAAAATTCACGAATGCAGGCAACAGTACAGAAAAGTCATTTCTTATTTCCACTGCGACCCTCGCACACAAAGACGCATATCTGGAGAGCTACCAGACCATTTTCCCATCCCCAAAGCATCAACCGCAGCTTCCAGTCATCCACCAAAATGTCCTCCACAACACCCCAATCGCTCCCCAGGCCCATCAAAATGGCCATCCTGGACGACTACCAAAACCTCTCCGGCCCCTACTTCACCGACTTCCCCTCAACAGAGCTGCAAATCGACACCTTCACCGACACGCTCCCCGCGCACGCGACAGACGCCCTCATCGCGCGGCTGCAGCCCTACACCATCATCTCAACAATGCGCGAGCGCACGCCCTTCCCCGCATCCCTCGTCCAAGCCCTCCCAAACCTCCGCCTCCTCCTAACCACCGGCCTCCGCAACAACAGCCTCGACCTCCCCGCCTTCGCCGCCGCCAACATCCCCGTCGCCGGGACACCCTCGGACGTCCCCGCAGCCGACTCCTCATCCGCCGCCACGGTCCCCAAAGGCGCCATCAGCAAAACCACCCAACACGCCTGGGCCCTCATCCTCGCGCTAACCGACAACATCGCCCGCGACGACGCCGCCCTCAGGCACGCCACTCCCTCCCCCTGGCAGCCGCACCTCCCCCTCAACATCTACCTCGCCAACAAGACCTTCGCGGCGCTCGGCCTGGGCAAACTCGGCATCGCCGCCGCGCGCATCGCCGCGCTGGCCTTCGGCATGCGTGTCATCGCGTGGAGCGCGTCGCTGACGCAAGCCGACGCGGACGCCCGCGCGGCGGCGGCCGGACTGCCTGCTGGCAGCGTCGAGGTGGTCGGGAGCAAAGAAGAGCTGTGCCGCCGCGCGGACGTGCTGAGTCTGCATTACGTGTTGTCGGAGCGGTCGCGCGGGATAGTCGGGCGCGAGGAGCTGGGGTGGTTGAAGCGGAGTGCGTTGCTGGTTAACACGGCGAGGGCGGGGTTGGTGGATGAGGAGGCGTTGTGGGAGTGTTTGAGGGAGGGCAGGATTAGGGGGGCCGCGTTGGATGTGTTTTGGGAGGAGCCGCTGCCGAGGGACAGCAGGTGGCGGACGGAGAGGTGGGGGGAGGGGGGCAGGAGTCAGGTCATCGTCACGCCGCATACGGGTTATATGTTTGAGGAGACGCTGGATCTGTGGTGGAAGGAGACGGCGGGGAATGTGAGGAGGTGGCTGGATGGGGGGGAGGTGCGGAATAGGTTGGTGTGAGGCACGGGTAACAGTGTGCGAAGGTCATCTGAGCCGGCTGTCCAAAGTCTATTATTTCGCCTCATCTGAGAAGTCTTCCAACCCTGTAAGCATCTCTCTATCTAAGTTTTCAATCACGCTGCGAGCTGAGAAGATGCAGTCATGTACACTGATGCCCCTGTACGACTTTCCCGCTACCCGGAGTCGGCCTTGATAGGCATCTAACAGCGCCTTTCTCAACTTGCCCAGCCTTTGGTGGTGTCCGACAGTGTACTGCGGGATTGCATCTTTCTGCAATGTTACCACGACTGCAACAGGTTCCTCCGTTAAGCCCAGGTGCATCTCCAACGTCCTTCTGGCCATCCTTGCACATTCGTCTTTTTCTGGATATGAGCGCACACCCGTCCACCAACAACCTCCGAGAACAACAGTAATTTTCGTACCTTGGAACTCATCTATACCGGGCGTGACATCGGAATCAAACACTACCCCAATGGCACGCGCCGGGTTAAGTTCATGCGGCACTGATCGTGGAATCAGGTAGCCAAAGCCTTGGTAGGGGTGATTGAGCCGAGGACGCGAGTAGCACAGCGTGACCACCGCAACTGTCACCTCTTCCATAGGCTGCATCCGGAGAGGCATCGACTTCTCAGTGCAGGCAAGCAGGCGATTCAGGGGCGTGCAAGCAACGACATGGGTGAACAACCGCTCACCTCCAGCCACCTACCACATCGTCAGTCTTCTACTCTCCTCAGCAACCGTGCATGCACACCTACCATCACAGCAACACCACCCCCATCACCCATCATCCTCACCTCCCCCACCTCTCCCCCTACCACGACCTCCACGCCGCCCACCCCCCTCACCCACCCCTCCAACGCCCTCGCCAACACCCCCAGTCCACCTTTCAACCCATACACACACCACCCCTCGACCCCCAACGCCCTCTCCACCTCCCCCGCGCCGCCGCTCTCCCTCACCTCCTCTAACACCCGCCTCTCCTCCTCTCCCCCCGTATCCTTCGCCCGGCCCGCCCCCCTCACCGCCTCCCCCACAACCCCACCCCCCCTCCCCACCCGCGCCCACCACGGGCCCCCTTTGCGCGCAGCAACCAACCTTCCCTCCGCCTCCCACAGCTCCCCCACGCACGCCCGCGCGCTCAGCCGCCCCACGTCGCCCGCCCACGACCCCATCAGCACCGCGCTCGCCACGCCGTCGGCGATGCGCGGCGTGCCGAGGCGGCGGGTGAGAAAGGCGTGGACGGATTCGTTGTCTACGTCCTCAACCTCCTCCTCACCCTCCCCGCCCTTCGCAGCGGCTGGGCGGAGCGGGGCGAGGAAGGCGTCGTGTAGTAGCGCGGGGAGCAGCGGGCGGAGGAGGGGGTCGTGGAGGGAGGGGTGGGTGAGGAGGTGGTGGAGGTGGGTGAGGGATTGGGAGAGGGAGAAAGTAGTGGAGGTGAGGAGGGTGGAGAGGGTGTGGGGGAGGAGGTGGTTGGGGTTGGGGTTGTTGGGCTGCGATGGGGAGTGGGGGGAGGACGGAGCGGAGGTGCCGGAGGGCATGGGGATCGGGATGGGGCGGTGGGTGGTTGGGGAGAGGATGTAGCGGGTGCAGGCGGCGGGGCTGGTGGTAGGGACGGGGAGGATGAGCGGGGTGAGGTTGAGGGCGTGGAGCTTGGTTGCATTCAGTCAGCACAGGGTTCGTGGTGGCGGGGGGGCTGGGAACAGAGAGAAAACACGGGCTGCATACCAGATCGAGCGTCACGATGCCGCGGGGAGCGTTGGCGCGGAGGGTGCGTGTGCCGGTGTCGCAGATTGCGGAGGTGTTGTCGTTGTCGATGTGGGCGGTGATGGAGTCGATGACGCCGCCAAGACGGTGGGTGGACTCGAAGAGGGTGATGGTGGCGTCAGGAAAGCGCTTTCGGGCATAGAATGCTGCTGTCAAACCGGTGATCCCTCCTCCGAGTATTGCGATCCGCGTGGGCTTCGTCGTCTCATGGGAAGTCTTTGATGTTGTGGAATGTGCGTTGCTTTTGGTGAGATTGTAAAGAGCTTTGTGGAAGTGATGTTGCTGAGATGCCAGCAGTGTCATTCTCGTGACTTGTTGCATTTTGGACATGACAGGTAACATTGGATTCAGGGAGGTCATTGGCAGTGATGCACTATCAAGAAGCAGTCTTTGAATCTTCAAGAAGCAAACTAAGCTAAAGGAACGAGGCCTTAAGAACAGTCTAGCAATGGCCATTCAAAAGCATTCGCCCATTTAGAGGTAGGTTAGCAGCTGATGGCATCGGGGTTCCCGATTGCCCAGACAGAAATGTTTGTCGGGCCAATTCTCCACGTCCAATGGCCATTGGGTTGTATGACCTACGCCATGCTTGATTGTATCTAGTAAATTAGGCTACGGGTTGAAGCGGGCCCCGCTCTCGGATGACTGCGTAGACAGTTTGTCCATTTCCAAGGCGTGGAGTTGGAGCAGAAGATGAGTCGTTTCGATGAGTGACACGGAAATTTGGTAATGCAAGTAACGTCAAGCTGTCTCGACAAGGAAAATGCCCACATCCGAGTTTGCCGCGGATCAGAGCCAATCAACTGTTTTACCATCATTTCCATCTGCAACGTTACACATGGAAAGGTGCCTGATCATATGGTTGGAGCGGGGATTGTGTAAGCTGAAATGGTACTACCGCGGCTAAGTGCACGCCGTTAGCGCTCATACCAGAGAAATTGAGAAAGTACTACTTCAGCAGCGTTGCAGTTGATGCATGCAAGATCAATTCAGGCACTTCAACAGACACGTTGAGTAGGATTCAATAGACGATTCATTTAGAGTGTCGCGGCCCCTCACGTTTCGTACAACACGACAGGTCCGAGTCGCGCAGAAGCTCGGCAGCGGGCCGATCCGTCTCTCTCCCCTCTGCCGGCCATGTGATACATCATGTCCAGTGAGATTGACGAAACCGAACAATCTCTCCAGCATTACACAGAATTCATGGAAAATGCTGTATATTACAGATCTGATATACTTGATCTCTGTGCGAGAATGCCCCACTTCTTCGTTTCATTGGCTGCACTGTTTTGATGCAAACTTCACGAAAGACCACACCATGGCGGCCACGGTCTTCGGCTTCGCTGCAGCATCCCGAATGGGGCCATCCCCTCTTTGTTGAGACTTTGAACTGGACATCAACGCGACGGAACGTTCCCATTACCTGCCGAATGAAATATAAAAGGCCAGTGATAGAACTTTCTGTCGACACCAACAACCAGCCCAAGTCACTTCAGCATCTGCACCGCACACAATGAAGTCCATCCTCATCACTTCCGCTTTCCTCGCCCCCTCCGTCCTCGGAGCGGCACGCCCTCCGCGCGCTGCCGCCGCCATCTCCACCCTGACCATCGAAATCCCCTCTCAGGGCGTGGGCTTCACCAGCACCGTCGCGGGTTGCGGCTCGGTCGCCCCCTTCGCCGTCGTGGCCGTCGCCAACGGCAGCTTCTTCCCGGGCACGAACACCATCTTCCTGCCGGCGCAGGCCTCCCCCTCGACGACGACCATCGTCAACGCCGAGGAGTCGGCCACGCAGGTCCTCGTCGCGCAGCCGCTGGAGGGCTCATGCCAGGACTTCCCTCCCAGCGCCCCTGCCTCCATCACCGACATCTCGCAGCTCACCGCCACCGGCACCGACGGCACCCCGACGGCGACCGACTCGGCCTGCCCGCTCGGCACGCTCGCGTCGGCGGTCAGCGGCGCCGCCGAGGACGTCATCGACGCCATCAACAAGGTCACGCTGCTCTCGCAGAACCTGCAAGCCGCCGCGAAGCAGATCGGCGGGTCTGCCTCCAAGCACCGTCGCAACACTGACGACTCCTCCACCACGGACCTCGAAGCCCGCCAGTTCAACACGCCCATCATCCAAGTCGCCAGCGGCCTGCGCGACGTCGTGACGACGCTGACGATCAGCATCCCGCGCATCACGGTGCTGCCGCCGTTCGACCCGGGCGACGCGTCCGACGCCATCGTCATCGCCCTCATCTCCTTCGTCCGCGTCCACCAGGCGCTGCTGAACATCCTGATCGGCCGTGCTGGGCTCATCAGCAACTTCCCGTTCGCCGACGCCGACGTTGAGGAGTTGACGGCCATCGCGGCTGAGAGCCAGACGGCGCTGGAGCAGTTCTTGGGCAGCAGCGGTCAGTCGATGACGGGTGCGGGTGCTGCGGTCGCGGCGGCTGGCAGCAGCAGCAACCTTGAGGCCAGGGTCAATCCGATTGGCGCGCCGATTGCGGCGGCGCTGAGGGCGGTTGAGGGCGTCGTGGATAGCTTGGCGTTTGCTATCATTGATTTGATCCCGTCGAGGAATGAGTGCGCCAAGGATCAGAAGACTGCGATTGATGGCACTCTGCAGGAGTCCATTGAGGCCTACTCTTAGGCTGGTGCCTTTCGCTGAAGGGGCTGCCGGTGCTCGATTGATTGGTTAGTTGGTCGGGTTGATGTCCCTCTGCTTACTGTTGGGCCTTTTGTTCTATTCACTCCTTGTGGCCATTGGTGGGTGGGTTGTTCCAGCGGCAATGTCACTTACGGCTCCCACGTCTTTGGGTTGGGTTTGGTGTGTGGAAGGAGTTCGATTGGTGATGTTTGTTTCGTTCAACAAGGATTAGCTCGATTTAGTTAGTCCTGCAGTTACCAATTCATCACCACCATATCCTGGCTTTCCTTTCGCCGAGTGTCCTTTTGATTCTCAAGGTAAGGTACAAACTGCTACGTTCCTCATCTAGGTATTCACTCCAGATGCGACTCCCACCCCCATCTTGTGGCCAACTCATAACCAGCCCTTCTCGCATCCTCATCTTCCGCCCTCATCCAGACCTGGATGAGCCCCTCGACTCTTTCTTGTATGTCTTTGTGAGCCTCCTTGTCATAGCTCTCAAGCAGACCCTCGGCCAGCTCTATTCTCAGCCGTTCCACCAACGTGAAGGGTCCTTCGCTAGTGTTCCCAATCCTCAGGCCGAGCCAGACGCTGTGCCGCTTATTCGTCACCCTCCGCCGCAGCTCGTTCTTGATCTCTCCGAAGCCCCTGTGATAAAGCCCCACTCCCTCTCCACATAGCTTCCCAAGCAAGTCCACCACTGCATCCGCAAGCTGCTCATATCCCTCGAGCTCCTCATCACCCACCACTCCGGGCCACGGCAGCAACCACAGACCCATCTGAAACGTATCCGGTAACATACGCCCCTTCGATCGCGCCCCATCTGCCCGCAACGCATCCACCTTTTCGACCATCCGTTCGACCAGCGGCCGCACATGCGCCACCCAAGCCTTCCGCACCTCCTGCCTCGCCTTCCACGGCACTTCGAGCTTCTCCAAAAACGTACCCTTCCGCGGCCAAACCCGGACGGCCTCGAGAGCGGTGTCAAACATCTCCATCACAAGCCGCTGCGCCATCTCCACATCGACGCCGCCGTCTCGACCTTCATCCCCACCCCCGTCAGCGCGAGGGCCAGTCAGCCCAACCATAGCCGCCGCCTCGCTATCCGCAACGCAGCCATCCCCGAACAACACGCGCTTGACCAAAAACTCGACGACGCCGCTCTCCGCCTCGACGCCCTCCATCCCATTCCCGAACAGCGCCAACCACCGCTTCCACCCCTCGTGCTCCGCCTCGTCGACATTCAGCTCTTCCTCCTCCTCCTCTCCCCCTTGCTCGACCGCCTCATCCATCTCTTTGACCCGCCGCCTCGCCAGCGCATTGACCCTTGCCACCACCTCCTTCTCCGCCGACGACGACGAAACGCGAATCCCAGCCCCCCAGCACCACCACCCCACCACACCCCCAACCAACGCCCCCGGCACCAGCCGCGGCGGCACCGCGCCGAACACGGCGCGCCACACGCGCGGATGCAGCGGCGGCACAGCGCCTACGGCCCCCAATACCTTCTCCACCTCGTCCTGCGCCACCACTTCCCCAGCATACCTCCCCAACAAAACCCGCACCCACCTCCTCGTCCCCTCACTCAACCTTGCTACAACCGGCACCACCACCCGCCTCACCAGCGGCCCCACGAACCACGCTGGCTGCTGCCCCCAGAATGTGTTCGCGCGCACGAAGCGCAGCAGCGCCGCGAGGAGGGGTGGCGTGGTTGTTCTGGCGTCGAGCTGCTCGGCGGTTAGGAGTTTCGGTACGTACCCGCCGTCGCTAGCCTCGGCTTCGGCGGCGCGCCATCCCGCCTCGTCGAGCGGGCGGGATGTGATGCGGGAGGCGAGGGGGACGAGGTCGGTTTCGAGGGCGGCGAGGATGCGGGTGTCTGTTGGTGAGGGCGTGGGCGTTGGGGTGTCCGAGGAGGCAGGAGGCAGGGGAGAAAGCATGGACAGCAGGGCGTCGAGGGCGGCGGTCTGGATGTCCGGGTGCGAGGCGACGAGCAGGTCGCGGGTGAGGATGGACACGGCGAGGGAGGGGGCGATGGAGGAAGACGTCGTGGCGAGGAGTTGGGCGAGGTGTTTGGCTGTTGTTACTTTGATGCGTGGGGCGGGGGCGTCAGCGGGACTCGCGGGCGAGTCTGGGGTTGCGGCGTCGGCGTCGTCGTCGATCTGTCCTTCCTCTTCTTTTAGTTCTCGCTGTTGCGCCTCCAGGCCCTTCGCGACGGCCTCGGCGAAGCTGGTCACGCAGGCGCTGGAAGCGGCAGGCGGCAGGCAATTTAGCAGGGTTGGCGTGAGCAGCTGGCGGTGCCAGGAGCTGGAGTCGGGGAAGTTGACGATGGCCTGGATGGCGAGGTCGGCGGCGAGGGCGGGGCGGTCGCCCTTTTGCAGGAGGGTGATCAGACCGAAGGCGATTTTCTCCTGCTCGTACGGGATGCTGCCGCCGGATGAGGTGCTCATGATGTGCTCGAGCGAGTTCTGGGCGAGCTGGAAGACGAGATGCGGCGGGATGGTCTTCGCGTGGGATTTGAGGGCTTCTAGGGCCCAGGGGATGTCTTTCTCGCCTTTGAAGAAGAAGTTGCTGTGGAGACGCATGGCGGGGTATCGGACTTCGTCGGCGGAGGGGAAGGGTGAGTCCAGAAGCCTTTTTGGTGCGCCGTTCTTCGTGTCCAGGAACAGAAGGGCTGACACGGCGTGGGATTCGAACTCTGCAGCCGTATTTTTACCGATTGTGACAATGAGCTGATCTGATGGTACTCCTGGTACCACCGGAGGATCGAATTCTAAAATCGTTTTGATGGTCCGGCTGAAGTCAGAAGGCATGTTCTTTGCAATGTCAATGTATGCCGCATCGAGCCTTCTTTCCTTGATGGGCGCCACAGACGGCGGAAGCGGATCCCATTCGACCACTTCCGAAGGATTCTTGACTTGCGGGACTCTCGGGTCGTGCGTTGGTAGGTTTTCCTCCTGAGGCGGGTTCGCGGACTCCTTTGGCCAGAACTCGACACCTTCAAACGAGGAGCTGCCTCTCCAGTAACGAAATGCGTCTGAAGGGGTCATTCTCCCCTGGCTACATGGACCCACAGCATGCGCCCAAACTTCTTCCACTCGCCTTTTCCTCTCTTCTTTGGAAAGCGTGTTCGGAATGAAAATCTCCAAGGCCTCTTGATAGGAGTCAATGAAGCCTTCGGCTGCCGCTTGTAAGACCTCGTCCTCCGGATAAGGCTCCAGTGCCTTAGCTGGATCCATGAACAGAACGGCGCGAGCCCGGGAAGCTATGTACGGAGTCATCTGCTGGGCATCCGACGCTCTCATGCGGATATTTCCCGTCAAATTCTGGATTGCCAGACCACGAGGATACGGCTCAGGCAGCGAGGATGTAGCTGGTTTCTGCGTTGGCCGTAAGTCCCGCCAGAGCTGGTCTCGCGCCTTGGCGAGCTCGTCAAAGAAGCGATATGTCGATGGTGATGCGTTCTCAACCTTAACAACGGAGTAATACTCGGGGACTCCTTCTACGTTGCCTTCCATCCAACGGGCAGGACCGGGCTCAAGAAAGGCCTTCTCAGCTCGAATGAGAAGTGCGAGAGTGTCTTCCCAAATAATTCTGTAGATGTCGTCCTCGGAAAAGCGGCCAGTCTTCGCCAGGGCTGTAGAAAATGTGGTTCGCCGCAGGTCCACAACACTGCGAAAGAGGATCCGAGGAGGCGCATGGATGCTCCACATCGCGGCAGGTTCCCGCATGGCCATTACTATCGTCTCCAAGAGAGTCCAGATAGCTTTGTTGGCTTCGACAACACTGGCTCGGAGGGTTTCCACGGTCGTCTCGGCACTTTCCAGGCCACCCGGGTTGCCAACCAAGAAATCTTCCGCGGCAAAGATGTTGCGACTATACAACTCAGGAACAGTAAGCTGCGACTATGTTAGCTATCTTCACAACAAGATTCGGCTTTCATGTCAATAACGTACCGTATCCCGAATGAAGCGACGACTCCACAAGATGGCCTCCGTGAAGACTTTGTGCGATCCGCTGTTAGAAGCCCAACTCAAGGCTGATTTACCATGAGCTGCTCGATCCGGCTGCGCCTTGCTCGTCTCAGCCTTCCGCTTGTACTCCTCGATCCCTACAACCGTTAGCTCCATCACCTTCGAAGTATCAGAAACAACTTACGCTTGGTCACAAGCTCCACCACCTTCTCCTTCTCGCCCCGCCGCTTCAGCAGCTCCAACCGCAGCCTATCCACATCGACCTGCTTCGCAAACCCATCCACACACCTCCTCGCCCTCTCAAACAGCTTCCACGCATCCCCCGCCGGCAGCCACTTGAAAAGCGCCATGTCCCAGCCCCGCGTCGGCATCCTGCTCCCCTTCAAATCCTCATCCACATCCACATCACCCCACCCCACCTCTCGCCCGCACAGCCGCAGAAACTCGTACCGCTGCGCCTTCGCCACGCCGTCCAGCGCAAACATCGAGACCGACTGCTGAGCTCCATCGCCCTCGCGCACGGCGAGCCTTACCAGCGCCCTGAGCACATCCCCAACCTCCTCCTCCGGATGCCGCTCCCACAGCCGCACCGTCCACGCAACCAACAGCGGCTCCTTGCCCGCCGGAAACGACCCTCGGCCCTGCGGGAGGGCCAGCCCGGGCGCAGCGGCGTCGGGGTGGCGAGTGAGGTACCGCGCCGCCAGCCGCACGATCTCGAGCACTTGGCGCCACTGCACGCGCGCGCGGCGGCGCCGGCAGCGGCGCAGCAGCGGCTCGACGAGGTCGGGGAGGAACAGCGCCGGTGGGAAGTGCGTCTTCTGTCCGGCTTCAGCGGCAGCGGCTAGCCGCCGCAGCAATTCGAGCGAGAAGTGCATCGAGCCGGAGAAATTGGGGTCAGACGGACTGGGGTTGGTTGAGATGCGGCCGTGGAGGAGAGCGGTGAGGGCGGGCTTGATCTTCTGGAGCTGTGCGTCGGTGTCCGCGCTGAAGATGGCGGCGAAGATGGCGGTCTGGACGACGGATGGGTAGCGCTGTGCCAGGCTGAGCTGGGCTTTTGCGTCCGCGGTGTCGCCGCTGCTGCCCGCGGCGGCAGCTAGGCTTTGCGAGAGCAGCGCTGCGACGGCGGAGGGAGGGATGGCTTGCAGGAGCGGCTCGTAGAAGCCCGTTACCGGCCGCTCGTCCCGCGCCGCCGCCGCCGCTGCTGCTGCTGCGTTCCCCTCATCACCGCCGGACTTGATCGATGCGGGCAGAGACAGTGCAGGCAGCAGTGCGCGCGCCAGCTCAAAGACGGCCTCCTGCTTCTCCTTCTTCTCCCTCTTCTCCTCGCCGCCGTCGTCGTCGGCGCCTCTCACGGCGCGCACCACGACGCTCACGAACTGCTTGATCTCGACGACGGGGAGCCCGCAGAGCAAATCCTGGATGCCTTCAGTGCCGCCGAGCCCATCCCAGGTCTCGCGCCAGCCCGCAGACGCCAGCTGCCGCCCCATCTGCTTGATGCCGGCCTGGCGCACGGCGCGGGAGTCGGCGCCGTGCGCGAGCGCGAGGCGGATGGCGGCGGGGGATTTGCAGAACTGCAGCCAGATGGTGAAGTGGATGGGCTGCAGGGAGCCGGTGGAGACGCCGTGGAGGAGGTGGGTGGTGATGGCGTCGGTGGAGAGGGATGATGATGAGGTGGAGTGCTGGCGGAGGAGCTGGACGAGCTCTGCGGGTGTGGATTGCCGGATCTGGCTGTAGGGGAGGGATTGGTCTGCCATTTTTGTGGGATGGCGGATGGAGGGGGATTGGAGGAATGGGGTGTGTGTTGTGCGGTTTATATGTAGTGCGGTCGTCGTTGGCGGTGGTGATGCGTGCGGTAACCCGTTTGGGCATGGTCGATGATTCGGTGGCGGGGGTGGATCGCCTAGACGGGAAATGTTGGCGGTGGCCCCGTGTTGCATACCGACAGAACAGTCACACTGTTGCCTCACACTGCTGCCTTCTCGTCCCGATCCACTTTTCTTCGTTTTCTCTCTTTGTTCTGTCTTTCAATGTGATGTTTTGATCCAGATCTGGCACTGATGTGTGCCGGTTGAAAATACAAAAACACACTTGTACGTTCTGTATCATCTGTCGTCAAGTGATAACATCTATGCTTCTATTTATCCTCATGAACCTTTTCGTGCTAACTTCGACCCCGGACTTACAGTACGATATCATGCTACTTGCCCCACTTGTCTTGCAAATTTGTGATACGAAAGCGAATCCGACAGCATATGTGAGTACATTAAGTTTTTTAAGGACACTGAAAAGGTAGATGATCTTCGCCGACAGTTCCAGTCCTGCAGCAGTATTTTGCCTGTTAAAAGTGTCCGAGTAAAGAGAAACAAAAGGACATCATTGACCGACTGTTGACGAAACGCACCACCTGCCCGACGATGTTGCAATTGCAAATGCAATGTACTACCGGTCTGAATTCAGTATACTTTCTGTGCACGGATTCTCCGTCTGACAGTTCAGGCTATCTGATAGATTATCAAGTCGTTCAATGAACTCAGCTGATTTGCAGAAGCTCTACCTATTACCTACAGCACATACTTCGCCAATATGTACCTGAATTAAATCAAGTCATTACGGGTTGTCGCCGTACAGTACAAAGAGTATCGCTCAATACAGTAGCTAAAACCCCGCACGCAATCCCGTCACTCACACCAACCTATCTTTCGCCTCCTCCCCATCCAACCACACCCTCACATTCCCCACTAATGCAATCTCCAGGAGCATCTGCGCAGCCCAGAATCTCTCCTCCACCTGACGACCGCATCCTAACTTGACTTTCTGGGCTAAAAAGTCTAGCGTAACAGGCTTATGTACTGATCCAGGTGGTTGAATCGACGGGCCTCGGGCCTAATAATCAGGTGGGGAAGCGTCGTAGTAGTGCGAAGTACTACTTGATTTTACTATTGTTAGCCTACAACAATCTCGTGAAGATCGAAGTAAAACAATGGCGAAGAAATGGCGGTGCTACGGCAGAGACTACGATTGGATTATTTTCGCTTCACGTGCGGGGCTGTTGGCTTGAACATTGATGGCATATCACGACTCACATCAATTAATTCGCATCACTGAATTGCAGATAGAGACTGGTTTCCTCGGGTATACAGGAGGGTATTGCAGCCGACGGCTAGCGTGGATTTATTTTTCATTCATGCTTTGCGTAAACAATTATACATTTGAGTCTGGACGATAGCTTCACCTACCCATGTACTCTTTCATTGGGGAGAAGAGGAAAAAAGAGCTGAGGCATACTTACGCTATGCTCCATGGCCCTGCCATTCTTCGAGCTAGCCATCGGCTGCAATATCCCTCTGTAGTTTCTAAAGGTGCAGACATTTCGGTCCCTGCGATGATTTACTGGACGAATCTCTGAGTCACTTTGGAGTACGACATAGACGCGGATGGAAGCCCACACTGTTGGATGCTCAGCTCTGATTTGCTACACGGTGCCGCGCGCTTCACCAGACGATCGCTTGCAGATGTTGTCTATGCGGCACGTTTAGCTAAAACCGGGGTCTTATGGCCCCCATTGGTGGGAAAAACAATGAGGTAGCCTAGCCTTAACAAGCACGTTTACGCCGCAATTTTAAATAGAAGGTTTTAACTTAGCGCGGCTGCGCCGCATGTGCGCCGCATATCTGGGCCTGCGAAGACAGAGCTACCAGCGTTAAAAGGTGCGCCACAGCCCGGGACCCCCAAGCTTCATGTACTACATCATCAGCGTTGTTTGACTGCCTGCGATTACTCGTTCCTTTGTCCAACCAATGTCGCACTGATTTCCTTTCGCCGCTCATGTCGTTCATGTCCCCACATTCCCACCGCCGAGTGAAGCTACTCGCTGTAAATTGCGTATTTGTGGCCCTTATCTTCCATTCACTGTTACACTTACGCCAGGCATTGGTAAACTTACATCAGTCATGGGGACCAGAACCCACAGTCGAAAATCTTTATCAACCAGCTGTATGGAAGCCAGATGGTAGCCTGAGTGGAAGCTCTTCCCCACCTCCGTCACAGTCTGAGTTTCCGTGTCGCCACCTTCCTGGAGCAGACGATGTCCTCGTCATTCTGAAGACGAGTGCAACGGAGTCGCACAAGAAGCTACCTATTCACTTCAAGACGACACTCCGGTGTATTCCACACTGGAGAGTGTTCTCTGACCTTGAGGAAGACATCGAAGGCTATCGCGTGCATGATGTCCTGGACGAGATTGACGATGGCGTCAAGACATCGGCCGAGGAATTTCGCCTCTACGATATGATTCAGCAATGGCACACCAGAGGAAGAATACCGTCTGCCGTCGATGAGGTTCTGTACAAGCAGGCATGGAACTTGGAAAAATGGAAATTCTTGCCGATGGTTAAGAAAGCCCTGCAGACGCGTCCCGATTCGAAGTGGTACTTCTTCATGGAGGCCGATACCTCTTTGATCTGGTCCAACCTCCTGCTTTATTTCTCACGGCTCAATCCAGAACAGCCGCACTATATCGGTGAGTTGCCCATTTTTACCATTTGCCGCTATCCACGTTCCGAATCTGGCGAGCTGACGATAAGGCAAGGTGCGCAATCCTGGATTAGCAACACCGAGCTTGCACATGGGGGCTCCGGCTTCATTATTTCCAACAAAGCCCTTCGCATGGTCGTTGAGGAGTACACTAGCAACGTTCCCCAGTACAACGAGCTCACGCGGAATGAATGGGCTGGCGATCTCGTTCTAGCCAGGGCCATGAAGAACCAGGGAATTTACCCAACGAGGTCTTTCCCGATTCTGCAGCGCGAGACTCCTTTTACCCTGGACTACACTGAGCGTCATTGGTGTTTCCCGGTTGTTTCATACCACCATATGACCCCTGATTGGATTCAGGCCATGTGGGATTATGAGCAGCAATGGCTAGCTAAGCAGCAAGCGGTCAGTGTGCCCCAAGCTGTGGAGAAGTTGGATTCGGACTAATGTATGATTCACAGAAGATATCGGTACCCCACTCGCTGCCGCCCAAGCCAATCCGCCATCGGCACGTCTTCGCACACTTCGTGCAGCCCGCCATCAGTTTTGGTGAGAGAATTGACTGGCACAACCTGTCTCCTGATCAAGGTGTCGAGGGACAAACGACACTCGAGACTTGCAGGTCCACCTGCCAAGCTGCACAGTCGTGCATGCAATGGCTCTGGACCGCTACTGGGGACTGTAAGATTGCCAATGTCGTTCGTCTGGGGAGCCGTCCAACTGTCCAAGACGATGCCATGAAGTACACGTCAGGGTGGATGACAGAGAGGGTAGCGGCCTTCGTAGATAAGATGGGACAGTGTAAGATGGACTGGATTCTGTCAAATGCGGACGCCGTTTGGTAGTAACGATAAACAGAGTGGTTAGTATACGGCGTATGAAAATGGGCCTTTTGTTTTCAGGGCTATCGTTGCAGTACTCCTGTTTGTCTCATCACAGTTTCAGTGTTCATTCAAAAATTCAAAGTAGTATAACGCCAGTCGCCCCTCTTGTTTTACAAATTCGTCACATCCAGCCGTTTCTGAAATAGTGCGATTTTTCCTGGAAATGAAGCCAACGAGTCCATATCAAAGAATCTCACATCTCTTTGGTAACCTCCGATCTCTCTGTTTTCCCTTGTCTCGGCTATGTTGTGAGAACTCGCCATCTTCCATCTCATCTGTCTCAGCAACTTGCGCATCATCATTTTCCGTTTCTTTTGCCTTTTCTATCTTCTCTTCGTAATCCTCTCTGATCTCTGTGGCCAAAGCCTGTGCTTTTTTCAGGTCCTCATCAATGGAGCGAACTTGGCGAGGACGTAGGAATTCCAGTTTGAAAATCGAAGTCGTCGTCTTGGCCTTGTATTCGTCCCAGTGATGGGTGTGGATCGACCTAAAATGATTCCAAAGCCATGGACCGTAGTACAGCGCCGGGCCAGAGCATGCAAAGACCATGAAGATGACCCAGGTTTTGTGAGATGAAGTGTCTTTCAAGTAGACGCCCAGTCCGACTAGCAGGGTAATGACAGCAACATTGAGGAAGAGGCCAGGAATTTTGATCATGTAAGCCGCACTCGCAGACGCCGAGTGCCACCTGTTTTTATCATCCAGCTCCTGCATTAGTCTCTCTAGCTCGGTCATATCGTCAGTTCTGCGGCTCTCTTCCTCCACTTGTTCCTCAATCGTACGAAGTTTGACCATTTTCTGAGCTATTTCTTCGGTTGTTGCGATATCCGATTTCTTGCTCTGCTTGCTAAGAAAATCCTTGACGTCTTCGTTGCTGAGTAAGTTCGTCAGCTTCTGCTGGAGCCGACATGCGAAATACACAGATAACGATGATGTGACGAGGCTAATGATAAAGGCCGCCTTAGCCGTGTATCGGGTGTAGTTCAGATCCTCCAGCGATATTGCGGTCACGGCTACCTGGGCGACAATCGCTGACTGCATATCTGTACGTTAGTTCTTCGTGCCTGTACTCGTCTGTCAACGGTAACTTACCGCCACTGAAAGCATCGTGCAATCTTCCAAAAATTGCTTCTTGATTTTCATCGGTCCATCACCATTTTCCCGAAGTATGTGATCCTCGATATGGCGTAACACATTTCCCGCATCGGGCCAAACGAACATGAGTATGATAGCAAGGCGTGAGTCGCACCGCTTACATAGTTCCTCAAAATTACTAATCACCGGTTGGATGGTGTACTTCTTCGCCGTAGCCAGGAAAGTTTTCCTATCCCGCAACGGGCCCTCTTTCAAATGACCAAGGAGCTCAGACGACCGCATGTTCTCTGTCATTGCTGGCTGAGTAACTGGGTGCGTGTCAGACTTGTGAAGGGCTGAAGAGGGGCGTGGTTTTGAGGTACAAGACTAGTCTTTGACAGCTGGCACGCAAACGCCTTTCCCCGAACAGCAACATTCGTCGATTGCCGAGCAAATAGCTATTAAACACCCCCCCCCACATAACGCGATAGCGACAGAATCATCCAGCTTTCAACCGACAACACACCATCCCACGCGGTCCAGCCAATCGCCGAAGCCGCTCATGCAATCCAGCCAGCACACACTCCCGCCCGCAAACCACCGGCATCAACCGTCCCTCCCAACCTAGCCTCGCCTCCAAACAAACACCTCAATTATGCTGACGAAAGGCTGAGGAGGCGAACGTGGGATGTATTAAGCTACCCAAAAGGCAGCACCGAACACCCCCTTAGCAATCACCCCTCCCTCCACCTACGTCATCAACAACCCCCCCACAACCGCCAACACCGGCGCATACCCCCAATGCGCCCACTCCCCTCCCCCCGCCGCTTTACACACCGCCCCATCCACGCCCGCGACCGCCGACCCCGCGATCAGCATCGCCCCCGTAATCTTCCTGCTGCCGTAGTACAGCGGGACCAGCGTCGCCAACCCCCAGAATATGTCGCGCGCCCCGTACACGACCATCAGCGCGTCGACCAGCTCACGCGCCGGCGGGTCGTACGCCGGGTACGTGAACGGCTCGAAGAAGGAGAGGCCGTGCGAGGGCCGCAGCATGGCGTTGATGCCGAAGATGATGGGGATGAGGCCGAAGGCGGTGGCGGCGAGGCGGAGGAAGGGGGAGGAGGAGATCGGCATGGTGGGTTGTTGGGTAGGTGGGTTTGGGGGCGAGGTGGTGGGTGATGCGAGGCGCGCGTTTGTGGTCGGAGATCTGGATCGCGTTGGGTGTCAGTGTATGTGTGGGGTTGAGCGATTGTGGGGGCGGGAGATCGACGAACGGTGTGATTGTGGGCCGTTGGGTTTTGTTCAACGTGGCGATGAGGTGGTTTATTTTGGTGTCGTATAGATCGTTTGGAGATGGGGAATATTGCAAAGATGAGAAGTTGGAGAGCGACGCGTCGATTGCGGGGAGACGCGGCTGCCTAAAATATGTCTGACGCGCTGCACGTGCTGAATAGCCTTCCTCCGTTGTTGGTGGCTGAGAGGCGCTAGCACAGAACGGGGTGCTTACGTTCCTTCGCTTTTTAAATCCTGTGATAACATTCCTGTGTTGATTGGTGGACGCGATTAATGACTGGGGCGGGAGATATTTCAAGGACTTCAATGATTGTGATATCAGAAAATGCGTGACTGCCACATGCATGCTTATCGTATACTGTCCGTCAAGGCACTTCAAATTTATGCTTCATTGTGGACATTGGTTTCCTTTCTATTTCCACGGCGCACGGCCCCAACTTCACGCCAGTTTTCGGACGCGGCCATGCATACCCCTACAAGATCGAACGAGATATGCATGGCTGAAACTGCACCTCAAGCGAAAACCCCACATTCAACCTCAGCCTCGCTCCCACATCTAAATCCACACCTACTTCAACGGATCGCACCGGCTAGAGGTCCGCTCTGCGGCCCAAATCACATCTGCCATTTCGGCGTCCAGCATGTCGACCTCGTTCCCTTGGAAGATCAGCAGGTCCCAGACTCTCTCGACGCTATGGGAGCCGCAGGAAACATCACTAGCAGATGGGGACAAACTCACTCCGGAACTATTTTGGAAGTGGGTCGACATGTGCAAGGACGATGATGACTTCGGCATGCTCGAAGATGGCTGTCACATGCACGGGGCGGCAGATCAACAATCTAATCACGCAAATCATCAGCACCACTTTGAACTCGATCCCACTTGTGTGTTCGACCGGGAAGAACACCTGGGAAAAGGAAGTTTGGGGTCGGTTTCGAAAATGAAGATCAGAGCTAGCGACATCGTTTTCGCATGCAAGACTTCTACGACTCGGAATGATGTTCGAAGCTTACGGAAGGAAGCCAAAACACTACGGACACTAGATCACCAGCATATCGTGAAGTTCATTGGCACCTTTACGCCTCCCGGGAAGAGGTGGCACCTGTCACTGATCATGTCCCCCGTCGGTGAGCAGAATCTGGAAGATTTCCTGAGAGCTCCGAAAACTCTTGAGCAAAAACCATGGTTAAGAGGCTGGATTCTGTGCCTGGCGTCAGCCTTGTGCTATCTACATAGCAACGGAATCAGACACGAAGATATCAAGCCATCGAACATCATTCACCAAGGGGACAAAGTTCTATTCACAGACTTTGGGTCTTCCACCGAGTTCAAGCCCGAGATAAAAACATCAACGGATAGCCCGGCATACGGAACACCCAGGTACCAAGCTCCAGAATTTCATGACAAGGAACAAGAGCACGGGGCCAGATCGGACATATTTGCTCTCGGTTGTGTGTATGTCGAGATTCTTACGGCAATGGCCGATGGCGATGTCCACGATCTTCACATCTTCTGTGAGGAACAATCTGTCAAGACTAAGCAACCTTCAAATGTCTTCCTATATTCCTCCGTGGTCAGATTTCTGGACACTTGGTTCGCAAATTTGCGCCTCCCTGTTGAACTAACGATCATCTGGAAAGATATCGTCCAACTCATGCTACTTGAGGATCGGAAACAGCGACCAACCGCAATTCAAACCCTCCAGCTTCTACAGACCGGATTTATTCCCTTGGTGCTGACGAACAGCCGGAATTGTTGCAATCAGAAAAGTTTGGAGCATATTATATCTGAGGATTTACCTCCAATCTCGAATCCAGGTCAGGCAATAAAGCACTGTCAAGTTCCACCTCCTCAAGTACTCTGCTAACAGACTGATAGGCCAGATCATAAGAGAAATCTGCCGTTCCACTCGGAAATTTCATTCTATCGACGAAAACATTAATCGATTAGAGCAACTGCACTTCCTCCTAAGATTGGGAGTTTGTGCTGCTACCCTCGAAAGAAATATTACATTGTCAGCAGAGTTCGTGGAAAGTTGCCTTGTCAACACATTTGCATCACAGTCATCCTCTTCTGTAAGCAAATGCTTTCTGCAAGTTATGCTTCACTACCGGGTGAATATCCATGCCCGTGGAAGAACCTTCATGACACCTCAGGCTTTTTGGAACATTGTGGGACTCTCGAGTGGGCAATCGGGCTCTCCACAACCAACTATCCTACCATATCCGGCGTCCTCAATGCTACAGGCTGCAGCATGGTGGGGCCATAAAGATTCGATTCACATCTTGCTCGACAACGGCGCTGATCCCAACGCTGGGAATGAGTCCAAAGGTGCCGCGTTGCATGCTGCGGCTTGGCAAGGCCATGCCTCCATCGTCAAAACTCTACTTAATGCCGGCGCCGATCCAAGATTGGAATGCTTTAGATTCGACACCTGCTTATATGCTGCAGCTACACGAGGACATATCTCGGTGGTCCAGATTTTGATTGATGCTGGTGTTGATGTCAATCAAAAACCTAGACACCAATTTTCTCCAGTCATGGGTGCTGTAAAACATGGACACTCTAGAGTGGTCCGAACATTGTTGAGCGCTGGCGCTGAGGCTGAATCTAGCTCCAAAGGTGATATGACATTATCTTTGTTACTGCACGAGGCTGCCCTTAAGGGCCATAATGGCATTTTACAGGACTTGCTCCAAGCTGGTGCTGATCCCAATGCAGAGACTCCGGGTCGGTGGCGGACCGCCTTGTTCGCTGCAGCCGAATCGGGGAAACCCTCAGTTATTCAACTTCTCTATGAGAGTGGAGCTGAAATTGACAAACGAAGCCGGTGGGGCGATACAGCTTTAATAGCTGCATGCCGAGAAAGGGAGTTGGAGTCTGTTCGGATGTTGATCCAATTGGGCGCGGACGTCAATGTAGACGCAGGTGTACACGGAACTGCTCATGCAGTCGCTTCCAAACATGGCCACCAGGAGATTGTTCAGCTGCTTGAGGAGGCAGGAGCTCGAAGCACGGTTTAAAGTTAGACTTGGGTACAGCTCATTGATAGCATGTGCGGTTGTAAATTGAACTGAAGGCACATTTGAAAGGAAAGACGAGAATGACACTTTTATGCAGTGATAAAGGAGGTAAGATTGTAGGTAACATGGTACAACCCACGAATACTCTAGACCACAACGCACTCATGGGGTCAGAAGAATCATGCAACAGTTATCGGAACTTTGAAAATACTTCCAGGCATACTTCGAACCTTCAAGTGAGAAATTCAGCGCAATGTTGAAAGACTCTCTGGGGTCTTCAGTACATACGGCAAAATTTTCCAGAGTATTTCAATGGTCTGGACGTATTTTTGTGCCTGTGTTGCACCGGAATTTCATAATATGGCTGGTGTATGTCTTAGAACGGCAGTGGAGATTTCGAGGAATCTCATTACGCAGATAGAGCTGCTCGAGATAAATGCGGCTGCGGTATGGCTTAGTGTGGCGATTCTCGTGTGGCTTATAGCTACGACGATTGTTGTAGCAGTGATGCAGCGGGGGTACTTGAAGAACTTGGATAAGGATATTGAGTGTGTCGGGGACGTGCTTGTTCTGGTTGCAGGAAGCGAGAGGTTGCTGAGTCTCGCACGGAAGAGGCAGCTAGGGGAGTTGGAAGATCTTGAGCAGATAAGGACTAAGCTGGGTTGGTTCAAACATGGCAGCGGGCAGCAAAGGTGGGGTATCGAGGTGGTTCAGCGAGAATAGTCTGCTTGGGTTTCTCATTCGTTTTGTGCATGCACCTTGTAAACTATTTCAGCACACCTTGGACGACAGTTATCTTTACATCCATCCATTCTAGGCCATTGATGAAAGCGAAATTGTATCTTTTGTTGATAAAAGAACATACATGCAAGAGTCAGCAGCTCCGTCATTTATAGCGATGAACATATAGCCATTGCCATTAAGCGCGGTCCCGAGTGCAGAGCTAGCAAAGGAGGGAAAAGCCAGGGTACCGATAGGAGAGCGGAGCCGGGCCAAGGTTGATTTTAGATGGCGATGGATGACGGCACGCGCAATGAGACACTTGTTGCGATTGAGGCCGTTTGCGTGAGAGGGGACATAAAGAGCAATGACGGACGAAACGGCACCCTGTTGCACCAGCCACCGATGAGAGCGCTAGCAGGTCTCACAGTGGAGAGGGGCTCCTGCTTGAGTTTGCCGAGGGGCCAATCGGATTTCTCATGGATTGCGCAAATGCGTGCTACGTAGCAGCCGACAAGCTTACCCCTAAAACTGGAAAGATGGTTGTTTTCAATAAGCAAAGATCTTAGAGACGGCATCGCCGAGCAGGTAACAAGGATTTTCGCACCCACACCTTTTGCTCAGTCCATTTTGTTACATATGCCCTAAGCCTCATTCATTTCAGCTGGCATGCCATGGCGACTCCAACAGGTATAAATAAGCGAAGCCAGGTCAAATGACAAACAGATGTTAGCACAGAAATTTTAGACCATAGACGTAAGCTACACGTGATGTCAGCGCTAGCTGCAGAGGCCAGTCTCAAATACGGACTGCTGCCTTTTCATGTGCGCGGTATTTCCGCTCACCTCTTCTTTGCATCAATGACTACCCCAGAGCCTGTTGCTTGCTCTTCTTTAGCCCCTACACATTCTGTTTCATCACGAGGTTACTGATCCCGGCCTTTCGAGCGACTGCTTTCCTGTAAGATATTTGTAGTTGCCGGCTTTCCTAGGAATCGCTTTCTCTTACCATTATTTTGTACATTCAGGATTCCTAAACGCCGTGTCGCGTTGTATTGTACTGTTCAGTAGTATCTGCTTCCGTGTGCGCTGCGGAAA